TCACCAGGTGTGGCCCCAGAACAAAACAAAACAAAAAAAATCCCCAAACAAGCAAAAAAGGTTTTATGCAGCCACCCCAGCTTGATCCCCAGCACCACATATGGCCCTCTGAGTACTGCCAGGAGTAAGTCCTGAGCACTATTGGGTGTAGTTCAGAAGTCCACACTGCCCTAGTGGAGCTAGAGAGAAGATCCGGTGGGATGGAGCACATGCTTTGTGTTGAGAAGCTCTGGCTTCTGCTCTGGCTACAGTGTACCTTCGTTCCTGCTCCAGCACGTTCTGAGAAAAGTCTCTACCACGCCAGGAGGCCCCCAAGCACAAGGGAACCAAAGTGGGTAGAATGAGGAATTTTATGTATATTTTGCTACAATAAAAGATTTTTTTTAAAAAAAATACAATAACTTAAGAAAACTTACGGTTCTTCACAGAGTGAGGGGGAGAGAGGAATGAATCAATAAATATAAACACAGACACAGACACACACACACACATAGAGAGAGAGAGAGAGAAATTACCTAAGAAGAACAGGGAGAAAAATAGATTGAATAAAAATGTGAACAGAGACTCAGGGACTGGAATATATTTTTAAAAGTCTCAAATTTGAATTTTTGGAATGTTGGAAAATGTGGTAAGAAAGGTTGTAGCAAACTAGTGTTCAAGGAACGAATGACTAATATTCCTCAAATCTGTCAAAAGAGGCAAAAGAGAGTAAAGAAGATGAATGAACATCTACCAGAAGTCTCCCTGAGAAATCCAAATAAAATGGTGATATTTTACATAAATACATGATACTTATATATACTGAAAACTGGAAAGGTGCCATCAGAAACTTCTAGAACCAATAAAGTAATGCAGTAAAGGGCAGGTTACAAAGGCAGTACACAGGGGCTGGAGCGATAGCACAGCCGGTAGGGCATTTGCCTTGCATGCAGCCGACCTGGGTTCAACTCCCAGCATCCCATATGGTCCCCCGAGCACCGCCAGCAGTAATTCCTGAGTGCAGAGCCAGGAGTAACCCCTGAGCATTGCCGGGTGTGCCCCCCCCCCCCAAAAAAAAAACAAAGGCAGTACTCAAAGATCTGCTGCATTTCTGTTTGCAACAAAAAAGTAGAAGAGAAAGACATTTAAAAAAATATGCTTGAAATTGCTTCAGGAAAAATGAAGTATCTAAGGATCAAGAAAGGAGGCCCAAAACTTCTATGTCAAAACTATAAATGAGATGGCATAAGAAAAAATATATAACTGACAAAAAGATGCTAGCAAATGGAAACAATCTGTGCTCCTCAACTGGAGAATTAACATTGTGAAAATGATACGCATTGTACAGATTCAGTGAAATCCCTAGCAAAATTCCTTTGACAAGGCTGAGGGGCAAGTATGGGGATTGTAGTACCGTACTTAACTGACTCCAGTCCAGTCCCTGGCACCACATGGCCCCCTTGTCTTCACTGTGGCTCTGGTAGTCATAACACTGTAGGACCCAAGTAATCTTGAGCTGCACATTGAATGTCTAGTCCAGTTGGATGAGAATCACTAGGGAGTGGCCCTGGGTTCCCTGAACACAGCTTGGTAGGTCCACACCCTCCAAAATTTCCCATGACATTTTTCAAGGACATAGAATAAATATTGCTAAATTTTATGGCTTAAAAAGCACAAAATCCCCAAATATAACAATCCGCTGAATTCTGAGGTAAAAGAAGCTAAGAGGCATCACAGTTTCTGACTTTAAAATGTATCTTAAAACTATAGTAATCAAAACAGTGTGGCACTGGACAAAGACCAACTCTCAGCAGTGGAATGCACTTGAGAGATAGAAGTGAATCATTGGACACACGATCAATTAATTTATGACAAAGGGACTAGGTGTATTAAGTGGTAGAAGGAAAGTCTTTAACAAATGGTACTAGGAAAACTGGTTAGCCACATGCCAATAAAATCGGATTCCTGTCTTACACCATACACACGTGTTAAATTAAGATGGATTAAAGACTCAAGTATATCAAGAAAAACAGGCAGACCTTTCCATGATATTGACTTTAGAGGTCAATATCACGATCTTTACCTTGAATTGCTCTGCTCCATTGGCAAAGTAAACAGAAGCAAAAATAAACAGGAATATAACAAAACGGGTAGGGGGTTTGCCTTGCAGCAGCTGACCTGGGTTTGATTCCTCTGCCCCTCTCGGAGAGCCCGGCAAGCTACCGAGAGTATCCCGCCCACATGGCAAAGCCTGGCAAGCTACCTGTGATGTATTCAATATGCCAAAAACAGTAACAACAAGTCGCACAATGGAGATGTTACTGGTGCCTGCTTGAGCAAATTGATGAACAACAGGAGGACAGTGCTGCAGTGCTACTGTGAAAGAGGTCATGGCTAAATAGACACCTTACTGAATGGGAGATATTTGCATGCCCTACATCTGATAAATAAGTACCCACCAGACTCATGAAGAAAAATCTACCCTATTGAAACATAAGGGGAACAGCTGTATAATACTTTCTCAAGAAAAGCATGCATTTGGCCAACTGCAAATAAAAAAGTGCTGCTTATTACTGATTGTCATAAAAATGCAAGTCAAAATGACAGATTAACATGTCAGATATGTGGCAATGGCTTATAATAAAAAAGCCTGGAAACAACCAGTGCTGGTCGGCATGTGGGGGAAAAAAAAGCCCTTATTCAGTGTTGATGGTTGTGTTGCATGGTAAAACCTCTATATAATATAGTATAGAGACCTCCAGAAATGAAAAGATAGAACTACCATATGACCCCAAGAATCCACTTGAATGTTTTTCCCAAGAACATAAAAAAAACTAATTTAAAAATATTTATGCCAAAGTCGTGAGAAACAAAGATGACCCCACCCCATAACCAAAAGGGAACCAAATAAACTTCGTTAGCTGAAGGGAAACAGTATTGAAAGGACAGCAGATTTGAAAAACAGAAGAAAAGTGAATCACATTATTCAAGTACTGGGAGAGATACTGCAAATATCTCCCATTCAGTAAGGTGTCTATTTTAGCCATGACCTCTTTCACAGTAGCACGGTAGCACTGTCCTCCTATTCATCAATTTGCTCGAGCAGGCACCAGTAACGTCTCCATCGTGTGACTTGCTATTACTGTCAACTTAGTATTTCATAGCTAGTGGAAGTATTCTTTAGAAATGAAGGGCAAATCTAGACATTCTTGGGAGAATAAAATAAAATTTAGTGACAGGAGAGATAGTACAGGGATTTAGACGCTTGGCTTGTTTGCATCTGGTCTCTGAGAATACCAAGAGTCATTCTTAAGCACAGAGCCAGCAATCACTCAACTCCAAGAACCTCTGGTTATGGTTCTCCCTACCCAAAAATATTTGTCACTAGGTCTATTCTGAAAGAATAACTGAAAAGATTTCTTTAGTTAAAAAAGAGATGTTAAAGAATATGCTATGGGAATGGACTGGTAGTGCAGTGAGTAGGAGTTGGCCTTGCACATAACTCACTCTGGGTTGTTCCCTGACTCCCACAAGGTCCCCTGATACACTCCATGGGTGATACCTGAGCACAGAGCCAGGAGGAAGCCCTGAGCACTGATTGCTGGGTGTGGGCCCAAAGCCACAAGGCAGACAAAAAACAGATTGTCAAAAGGAATAGCCTGGGGGCTGGATCAATAGCAAAGTGGGTAGGGCATTTTCCTTTTCCTTGCACAGGGCTGACCCTGTGCGATTCCCAGCATCCCAGATGGTCCCCTGAGCACTGCCAGGGGTAATTCCTGAGTGCAAAACCAAGAGTAACCCTTGTGCATCGCCTGATGTGACCCAAAAAGCAAACAAAACAAAACAAAAAAAAAGGAACAGTCTGTAGGACAGGAATATGGGTGAATGCATGTAGGGGAAATATGTTACTAATGGAAGGTATAAAGGGAAACAAAGTTTCTACATTTCACTTCACTTTATTCACTTTAGCTGGTAAGTTATTGACAATATAGAATATAGATAAATAAATATGTTAACATATAAAATGTATAAATCCAAGTTACAAACATGTAACAAAATAACCACTAAGAAAAGAAATACATACTAAGGAATACTACAGGTAAGTGAAAATAGAATTGTAAAATATGTTACCTCAGAAAGCCAACGAAAGAAAAACCAAAGTACAAAAAAATTCACTAAAATATTGAAAATTTCATCAAATCCACATTTAAAAAACCTGGATTATAAAATGAGTTTAGAAAGTTTTTTGTCTTCATTTCTGGCTTCTATACATTTCTCAGCAACAGAACAGTAAAAATGTATCCACAAAACTCTTAATTTCTGTATTATTTATTTCAATTTTGCTAAAATTGTTAAGTGCATAAGCAACACATTAATAATTGAATACTTTCCTTGCCTCTAATGTCAACCCTTATTATTTACTCCAAAACAAAAGTTATTTAGAAGAGGTAATTCATATTTGTAGAAAGGGTATGAGTTTTGGACTTAAGTATAAATCTGGCTATAGTACTTTATTTAATCTTATTTTCCTGAAATAATCTTATTTTTCTGAACCAACTTTCTTTAGCCGGCCATACCCACAAGTGTTGGCTCTGCTCCAACAGTCACGGATGACTACAGGCAATGCTAAAGGAACCACACAGTGTTTGGGGGATCAAACGAGAGATGACACTTACAAAGCAACCTGCTGTCCTATCATTTTGGCCGTGACCATTTTTCTAATCATTGCAAATCAATAATAACTTAAATTAAACTGTAAATAACCTGAAAAGATATAGATGGGAAATTTTGCATATTTTGTACCACGAAAATGTGTTGCCTGTATGAAAACAAACAAAAAAAAACTTTTCCATGCAATATATTTGCATGGTGCAGGATTCACAAAGTGAGAAAAAGATATAGCTTATTCTCCTTTACAGAGAAACAAACCCCTCTTCCTGATTCCTGTGGCCTATTTACTATGTATAGAGGGAAGCTAAAGAAAAACTTCAATGTGATCATTTTCTTTTTAATTATTACAGATTGAAGATCTCAAACAGATAAATCATGGCTTGGAAGAATATGTTAGGAAACTCTTGGATAGTAAGGAGGTGGTAAGCAGTCAAGTAGATGATTTGACCAACCACAATGAGCATCTATGTAAAGAATTGATTAAAATTGACCAACTAGCGAAGCAACTAGAAAGCGAGAAAAATTTTGTGGTGGATACCGCCGACAAGGAACTTGAAGAAGCAAAGGTACTAAATTTACCATCGATCAGAATTTTTCTTTTGGCCAGGAGCTGGGGCAGGCTTCTGTGGCACTTGAGCTCCCCCTACAGGTGCTTGGCGGACCCCGTGGGGCCGGGGATGAATGCCGAAACCTATGTGCAATGTAATGTGCTCAGTCTGTTGGACTGTCTTTCCAGCCTCGGGTCTAAGTTTAGTTTAAACACAATATCATTATTAGGTGCAGTGGGAAAAATGATGTTCTAATACCATAATATAGTTGACATCAGTATCTGTTTTAGCCCAAAAGTAGAGAAGAGAGTAAGAGGGAAATTGTCTGCCATAGAGGCGGGGGAGGGCTGGGAGGTGGCGGGTGGGAGGGTGGGGGGAGATATTGGAGATGTTGGTGGTGAGAAATGTGCGCCGGCAGTGGGATGGGTGTTCGATCTTTGTATACTGAAGTGCAAACATGAAAGCTTTGTAACTGTAGCTCACGGTAAAGTAAAGTAAAAGTAAAGGCCCTCCCGTTGATCATCGATTTGCTTGAGCGGGCCCAGTAACGTCTCCATTGGAGACTTTGTTGTTACTGTGTCTGGCATATCGAATACTCTCAGTAGCTTGCCGGGCTCTCCGAGAGGGGCGGAGGAATCAAACTCGGGTCGGCCATGTTGGCTGCGTGCAAGGCAAATGCCCTACCCGCTGTGCTATCGCTCCAGCCCACGGTGATTCAATTAAAAAATATGTCTGTTTTATGAATAGCAAAGCCACCAACCATAGTAAGGGTTACAGATAGGATGGGGATTAGAAAAATGCATGACCAATGTTGGGGATATGAACAACTAATATCTGTGGTCATAATCATTTAATTTTGGGGCGTGTAATTTAGGTATCCAACCACTGGGAAAAAGATTCTTTACCTGAATTGTGGGATATGGCTCAAAATAAGAGAATTTCTGATTTGAGAACTAAGAAACAATGTTTGGATTCTTAGACTACATGAGATTATTCTCTGGTTATGTGAAATAGAGTCTGAGGCTGAAGAATTGATTTAGAATTAAATTTATTACTGGGAATAGTTTACTTTCATAGTTTTTAAAGTATTTTTTGGGAGGAAGGGTTGAGGGGAGAATCCTCCTAAGCATTGGTTGGCTCTACCAGGGCTACCCCTGCAGTGCTGTGTGGATGCCAGTATGTTCTTCAGCCCTTTGAGCCCATCTCCCTAGCCCTGAGCCATTTCTTCAGTGGTCCACAGAGTAATTCTTTTATCCCATTGTAATCTTTTGATATTTACTATTACATTATCTGTTGCTGTTTATTAGATTACATCTAAACCTTAATGGCTTCAAATGACTCATATAGTTAACAATATCTGTGAATCACTAATTCAGTTAAGTTTATGATGTCTCAGAAAATGATAATCAGGATGATGGCCAGAGAGAAGTCATGACTTGACCATTACTAGACCATTTGCTCTTTATAATAAATTACTGTGGGATACCAGTAGGACTTCGGCAGTAAATTAATTTCTTGCCAGCAGATGTCTCTAGTTTGCTTGATAATAGTTTTTATAGCTGATTTTCCTCTTCCCTGCCCACACTTGATTCAGAGAGAAAGGAATAATCTTCAGTGTCCAGTATAAAAAATACATGCTGTCCTTTATGGTTTGTTACTCCGAATCACCATTACATGCTCCCAGGTCGGGAAGGGGAAGGCAACAAGCTACCCCTCATTGGCTCCGCCCAGCTCTGGACCCATGAAACTGAGGCATTGTGGCATCTGGATCCTGTTTGTTACTCAGGATCTCCATTTTGCCCCTCAGGCCAGCCCCCCCCTCCCCCCAAGCTCACAGCCGCACGGTGACCTCACATTTCTTCACTTCTTAATCCCTCACTGTGAGCATGCAAAGACATCCCACATTTGCTTACCTGGCCACACAGCACTGCAGGAAATACCTCCAGGCTGCCAAAGGTAAAGTGGAAAAGCAACTACAGAACATCACCACTCTTAGCAGTGAAGACAGAAGATAATAGCTCTGAAGACTTTACCAGTATAGGCCAGCTATAAGACCTCTCTGATAAGGACTTTGGAGAGGAAATGTGGAGCATGTTTAAGAAGCTCAAAGAAACAATGGAATGGATAGCTAATAAAACACAAGAGAACAGAAATAAGGAAACCACAAGCAGAAATGGCAGAACTAAAGAGTTTAGTAGACGAAATGAAAAACTCATGGGAAGGCCTCAGTAGAGTAAGAGTAACTGAGGACAGATATCAATGAGTTCCAAGATGAGATGCAGAAAACCTTTAGACAACAGCAGAAGATGGAAAAATAATCCCCCAAATTAATGAACAGCAGACAAGAGAACCCTGGGATGAATTCAAGGGGAACATCAAAAGACTCTTCAGGGTCCCAGAAGGCCAGGAAAATCTGACGCAGAAACAGTAGTTAAATAAATTATTACTGGGAAGGTCCTAAAGTTGAAGAGTGCACAGACCTAGATTCAGAAGGCCCAAATAAATAGACTCCAGGATACATCCTGATCAGAATGACAGAGGCCATGGAGAGAGATAGAACACTGAAAGCAGAAAAATCAGCAAAGGAAATTACATAGAAAGGAGTGTTCTTGATGTAGAGCACATTTGTCAAACAACACCTTTCAGCCTAGACGTCAATGGTTGGATGTAGTAAAAACAAAAAGCAAAACCAAATACAACCAACGCCCCCCCCCCCCCACACCCCAGTAAAATGATTGCCTCACCAAGAGTAGTTTATTCAGCCAGACTTTCTTTCTTTCTTTCTTTCTTTCTTTCTTTCTTTCTTTCTTTCTTTCTTTCTTTTCTTTTCTTTTTTTTTTCTTTCTTTCTTGAATATTCAAGAAAAAAAAACTTTTTTTTTTTTTTTACTTTTTTGGGTCACACCCAGCAATGCACAGGGGTTACTCCAGATCTGCACTCAGGAATTACTCCTGGTGGTACTCGGGGGACCATATGGGATGCTGGGAATCAAACCTGTGTCGGCTGTGTGCAAGACAAACTCTCTACCTGCTGTGCTATCATTCCAACCCCCAAACTCTCTTATATTTTAAAAAGTTGTTCACAATTTATTTCATTCAATATTCCAATACCAATCCCTCCACCATTACACCTTCCCACCACCATTATTTTGGATTTTCTCATCACCACCCAAGCCTGCTCCCAAAGTAGGTCTAAATAGTTTATTTTGTAGTGCTTGTTATGAATAATCTGCTAAGAATGATCCAAAAAAGTTTCCTTAGAGGAAAATGTGATCCTGGGTCCTCCCAGGATTGCTCCCTGAGCATAAAGCAGGAGTAAATCCTAAGCACCACTGGGGGTGGCCCCCCCAAACATAATATACATGACAAATCAGGAGTAAAATAATATCACGTGGCAGGAAGAACAGTGGAATCAAAGAGATGTGCCCGGAGCCGGAGGTTCTTCATCCTCTTAGCTATTTCTTCGACGTTCTTGAAGGCGTTCCAAGCCGCTCTCTTCCTCCTGCGCAGCTCGGGTGCCAGGTCATTTGTCATGTTGACTTCTGGACCTAGGTACACATAGCTGTTGCATTCAGAGATGGTCCTTCCATTGAGAGCTAATGGGGCGTCAGGAACGAGGCTGTTTCTCATAAACATTGCTTCGTAAGATTCAGCTGTAGTCCTACCTTTCCACACTCACGGTCAAAGTCGGCCAGCATTTGTGCCGCTTGGCTGATGTTTGGTGTTATTAAAACAATGTCATCAGCAAAGTGGAGGTGATGTAGTTGCCGACCTTCTATCTTCACTCCCATTCCTTCCCATTCCAGTCGTTGCATGATGTTCTCGAGGGTGGCACTGAAGAGTTTCAGTGAAACGATATTACCCTGCCGAACCCCTCTCTTGACATCGATGATTACTTCTTTGTAGAATGGTGAGATCTTGGTAGTGAATCCGCAATACAGCTCACGGAGGATCTTGATGTATTGGGCTTGAATGCCCTGATTGGCTAGGGCTTCAATGACCGCTTCCGTCTCAACAGAAGCAAAGGCCTTCTTTAAATCAATGAACGTTAAACAGAGCGGCATCTTGAACTCCCGAGAAACCTCAATGAGCTTGGTTATCGTGTGGATATGGTCGATGGTGCTGAATCCCAAAGAAGAATAGAAAGAGCTATGCTTGGAATATCATGTTTCACTCAAACGAGAGAAAGAATCCGGAGTTCTGACATCCGTGGATGATCAAGAATCAGGGATGCTGTCTCATTTGCCAAGGTGTCGAAAATCAGATGGGCTGGTCACGTAATGAGATTTAAAGACGACCGCTGGACTAGAGCTGTTACCGACTGGATTCCACGGCATGTCAAAAGACCGTGTGGCCGCCCACCTACCAGATGGTCAGACTTCTTCGTCAAGATCATGAACGATCGGTTTGAGGCCCTTCATGTTCCCGGAGCGAACAGATGCCATTGGGCTACACTAGCACGCGACAGGGCAAATGGAGACGTTACTGGTGCCCACTTGAGCAAATCGACGACTAACGGGAAGTTAAGTGATTAAGTGATTTAATGTTGAAAAGAATTGTAATTCCTGATATCTAATTTATTTATACAGTTTAAAAAATTAACATTGGAATTATTATTGCATTTCTTCTCTATTAGTTCTTACCATATGTAATAAAGCCAATAAAATATGTGGAAGACATGGTATAAGTCTCTGTAAACATTTTTCTTTTTTTTGACCATACCCGAGAGTGCTCAAGGGTTACTCCTGTCTCTGTACTCAGGAATCACTCCTGGCGGCTCATGGGACCTATGGGAAGCTCCTATTGAACCCTGCTCGGCACGTGCAAGGCACGTGCCCTACCCACTGTACCATTGCTCTGCCCTCCCCCCCCCCCCCCACAAGCTCTTATCTTGTCATTACCCATATCCCTTTCTGATCTATGTTTTGCTGGTTATCTTTTGTTTTTCTCTTTCGATGTAAACTCCTTGAAGTCTGTGTTTTCTGCCTCTTCCCTTCCCTTTCTCACCTTGATTTCCAGTGCTTGTACACTTGCTTGTAGTGCTTAAACACTTAGTTGTGGTGCTCTGATACTTAATTGCATTGATTGTTGAATGGTAAACACACTTTATTTTCAGTTCTTGCTCACCTTCAGTTGTGCTGTGCAAGAGATTGCACGTATATATTTTTTTTCTTGTTCTGATCGGTATCTGAAGTAGCAGTGATGCCCAGTTGGAATCTCAATTCTTTATGGGTCTGTGATAGGGACTGACTCATACCTGTAGAGCAGGCATTCTACCAATGAGTCACATGATGGACTCAAAAGCAGAGAGTCCACTTCATTTGCCGAAATTAGTGTCAAATAAATGAATATGTTGGGTTAGCATGTTATTTTTTGTGTCTTGTAATTTCATTTTCGGAGTGGAATCTACATTGTTTTTCATCTTAACAAAAGTAATACATATTTATTACAGACATTTCAGTCTGTATAGATATAACAGTATAGCACTGTAGTACTGTCCTCCTGTTGTTCATTGATTTGTTTGAGCAGGCACCAGTAACCTCTCACAACAAATTGTGGTACTTGTTGTTACTGTTTTTGGCATATCGAATATGTCACGGCTAGCTTGCCAGGCTTTGCCATTCAGGCGAGATACTTTCAGTAGCTTGCCGGGCTCTCCAAGAGGGATGGAGGAATCAAACCCGGGTCGTCCACATGCATGGTAAATGCCCTACCTGCTGTATATAACAGTATAATTTAAAAAAATCCACAGTGCTATGATAACAGCTTTTTGTACCTAAACATAATGATATACCTTCTCCAATTTTTATATTATTTAGTTATGTCCCATCTTCTTTGAGAATATATACATAAATTTAGTCTCTAAAAGAATTTGTTATGCTATTTAAAATTTTTGGCAGTAAGAATTTTTACATATTTTTATGGGGATCTTGTACATAATCAAACATAGATAGACTTCTTATTAGTATCAGTTGAAAACTTGTGCAAAAGTATGTTACAAACCATAATACCCCTTAAATATTTTATAAATTAAAATGTGACTATCAGATATCTTGAAGTTATCTTTGGTCTAAAGAACAAATGAGGGGCTGGAGAGATAGCACAGCGGGTAGGGTGTTTGCCTTGCATGCAGCCGACCCGGGTTCGATTCCCAGCATCCCATATGGTCCCCTGAGTACCGCCAGGAGTAACTCCTTAGTGCAGAGCTAGGACTAACCCCTGTGCATTGCCAGATGTGACCCAAAAAGAAAAAGAAAAAAAAAGAACAAATGATTAATCATTATTCCAGAAAACTCTAAAATTAAATCTGGCAAGATCAGGTGACTTTCAGTTTAGAATAACAATGGGGGAGATTTATGAATTAAGAAATAAATTCATTAAACCAGCATGCCAAATTTTAGTGAAGAACTTTTACAACTTTGCATGAAAAGCATAGTCACTGTTTTCTAGGAAAATACAATTTAGACATACATTAAATATATGAGTATAAGTAACTATAAGGCTGGATATATTTTATAAGATTGATAAAAACGGTATATTGTAATTTTGATCGAAACAAATTATTAAAAGAGCGTAGAGGCAAAAATAATCACTTTTTATTAGGGTGATTTGGAAAACTTTTAACCTAGTCATTTTCTTATCTCTTTCCCATTAACATTTTGTAATTACAATTGGCCAGTTGGCCCTCCCGTTGATCATCGATTTGCTCGAGCGGGCCCAGTAACGTCTCCATTGGAGACTTTGTTGTTACTGTGTTTGGCATATCGAATACATCACGGGGAGCTTGCCAGGCTCTGCCGTGCGGGCGAGATACTCTGGGTAGCTTGCCGGGCTCTCTGAGAGGGGCGGAGGAATCGAACTTGGGTCGGCCATGTTGGCTGCGTGCAAGGCAAACGCCCTACCGCTGTGCTATCGCTCCAGCGATACTGTAATTACAACTAGTACTAACTTTGTTTTCCAGATTGGGGGAGGAAATTTGATAAAATACTCAAGTAATTTGCAGCCAGTGAGGTAGTATCATGGGTATTGGCACTTGCCTTGCTTGTTGCTGACCTGAGTTTGAGCCCTCAGACTCTCTCTGGTCACCCTGAGACCATCACTATTGATCCCTGAGTGTAAAGACAGAGGTGAGCACTGAACTTCCAGATGTGACCCGAAAGTGAAAACAAGAAAACAAAAAGAATTTTCATTAATTTATGCAAAATATTGAATAATTTAAAGGAGTTGCCATATTTCATCAGGCTTCTTGAACAAAGATAGGCAAACACGAAGGAGTATATTAGTTTTCTTTAATAAAAACATTCACTGCTTATTTAGATTTTTTTTCTTCTCCGCATGCTTTGGGCCGAAGGGTGCTCTAGGCATCCCCTCTTTAAATCATTGCATTTCCTCATCCAGTTATTCTAAACACTACATATAAGTGATCTCAGCCTGTTTTTATCCTCTTCCTTTTGACTTACTTCATTCAATATGATACTCTCCGGTTCCATCCATGTTGAAGCAGATTGCACGATTTCATCATTCCTTGCGGTTGTGCAGTATCCAAATAAGACTACATTAAATTAAAGTGTTTTTGCATGGCAAAAGAAACATGGGCTAAAACTAAAAGACAGATAACTGAAGAGGAGAAAATATTTTTGGTCAACACATCACAATCAGCCTTTGACTCTGTTGAGACGGAAGTGGTCATTGAAGCCCTAACCAATCAGGGCATTCAAACTTAATACATCAGGATCCTCCGTGAGCTGTATTACGGATTCGCTGCCAAGATCTCACCATTCTACAAAGAAGTAATCATCGATGTCAAGAGAGGGGTTCGGCAGTGTGATACCATTTCACTGAAACTCTTCAGTGCCACCCTCGAGAACATCATGCAACGACTAGAATGGGAAGGAATGGGAGTGAAGATAGATGGTCAGCAACTACACCACCTCCACTTTGCTGATGATATTTTTCTAATAACAACAAACATTAGCCAAGCGGTACAAATGCTGGCCAACTTCAACCGTGAGTGTGGAAAGGTCGGACTACAGCTGAATCTCACAAAGACAATGTTTATGAGAAACAGCCTCATTCCTGACACTCCATTCGCTCTCAATGGAACAACCATCTCTGAATGCAACAGTTATGTGTACCTAGGTCGAGAAGTTAACATGATGAAAGACCTGGCACCTGAGTTGCGCAGGAGGAAGAGAGCAGCTTGGAATGCCTTCAAGAGCGTCGAAGAAATAGGTAAGAGACAAAGAACCTCCAGCTCTGGGCACATCTCTTTGATTCCACTGTTCTTCGTGCATTAACATTCACCTCAGAGACTTTGGCCCTATGCAAACAGGATGAGAATGCTATTCTGCTATTTGGGTCTCCCAAAGAGGAATTGAAAGAGCTATGCTTGGAGTATCACGTTTCACTCAAATGAGAGAAAGAATCCGGAGTTCCAACCTCTGTCGACCAAGAATCAGGGACGCTGTCTCTTTTGCCAAGGCGTCAAAAATCAGATGGGCTGGACACGTAATGAGATTTGGAGACGACCGCTGGACTAGAGCCATTACTGACTGGATTCCACGGGACGTCAAAAGACCGCGTGGCCGCCCACCTATCAGATGGTCAGACTTCTTCGTCAAGATCCTGAACAATCCATTTGAGGCTCTTTGTGTTCCTAGAATGAACAGACGCCATTGGACTACACTAGCACATGACAGGGACAAATGGAGACGTTACTGGCACCCACTCGAGCAAATCGACGATTATCAAGAAGTCAAGTGATCAACACATCAGAGAAAGGATTGATATCCAGGATATATAAAGTATTCACAATGCTCAGCAACAAAACATTCTAAAACTCCATCTAAAAATGGGGAGAGGAAATGAACAGGGACTTCTCTGAGGAAGACCAATGGACGGCCTGCAGGCACATGAAAAAATGCCTATCATCACATCAGAGAGAACGCACATGTCAAAAATACTGGGAACCGTCTGTGTTGGCGAGGGGGTGGCAAGAAAGGATGTCTTGTCGCTGCTGGTGAAATTGTGGTCTGGATCAGCCCATTTGGAAGGCAGAATGGAATCCGATTGAACTGCCATACAGCCAGCAATTCCACCTTCCGGTATCTCCCCCCAGGTAGAAAAATGTCCATTTGAAATGATGTGTGCACACCATTATTCACCGCAGCACTCAGTACATTAGCTAAGATTTGGAGGCAACTTAGATATCCAACGAAAAATCTTAGCACTCAGTACAGTAGGTAAGATCTGGAATCAATCTAGATGTTAATCGTGGTTTTGGAATAAACCATGAAAATGTGGTATGAATGACATTTTTTATGGATTGTTTTTCAGATTCAATTAATTTGCCAGCAAAATAATATAATAGTATTGGAAGATACAATAAAGAGACTTAGATCTGTAAGTATGGTTTTGGTAAATATATAAAGAATAATTTTCATTGGCTTGTAAGTCTACGGAAAATGTGTTTGTGTTTTGACTCTTATGTCCTTTTTGAACAATAAAATATGGTTTTTTTTTAAATCAGCACCATCTGACTTGTGTATCTCTATACAATTGGCTTTGATGCCTAGAGATCCTTCTGTCTGTAAGGGAGATACTTTTCCTTCTCCATTTCATCATTACTCCTTTCTTTCTTAGTGGTGGAGAGAAATTTTGCTTGGCTTTATTAATGTCCTTAGCTGATACTTGGTTTGAAATGATCACTGTGAGTAATTTAATTCTCAAAGTATAATGTGCGTTTGTTTATATACTAACATCTATTCCTCATAGTTATAGTTTAAGTTATAATTTGTTTTTTATATTTTATTTGTGTACAACTGTGAAGTGATAACTTCTTTGCTCAGACACTTTAATGTTATTTAAATATCTGAAACGTCCTGTCTGAAAGTGGATCTGATTTCTCAATAAAGTTTGATGAAAAGTTTTATGCTCGAGCGATAGCACAGCGGTAGGGCGTTTGCCTTGCACGCAGCCATCATGGCTGACCCGAGTTCGATTCCTCCGCCCCTCTCGGAGAGCCCGACAAGCTACTGAGAGTATCTCGCCCGCACGGCAGAGCCTGGCAAGCTCCCCGTGACGTATTCGATATGCCAGACACAGTAACAACAAAGTCTCCAATGGAGACGTTACTGGGCCCGCTCGAGCAAATTGACGAACAACGGGAGGACTGTGACCGTGACCATGAAAAGTTTAAAAAGTATTGGTAAAATAAATACTATAAAATTTGGCTATCCCTCATTGACTTAACTTATACATTTGTTGAACAGCTATTGAATATAATTTAGATGTTATTCATAGGTTATTCAGTAGGAAAACAAGGAAGTTAATTGCCTTTTCTAAGCAAGTTAATTGCCTTTCTTGGACATGTATTCGATCTATGGACATTCCTGACGTCTGAAACTTCTTTTTTAAAAATTTATTTTCTGTTTTTTTCTCTTAAAATTATTGAGTAAATTAGAGGTGCTAATTTAACTTTTCAGAAATTTAGATAAAGGGAAGTGTCTAACTTTTTGTTGGTTTGTTTTGGGGCCACACCCAGCAGTGCTCAGGGCTTCCTCCTGGCTCTGCTCTCAGAGGTCACTCCTGGTGGACTCTGGGACCACATGGGACATACAGGATCACGCCTTGGATCAAGGCAGACACCCTTTCTATTGCACTATCTCCCGGCCTCAGAAGGTGTCTAACTCTTAAAAGTATTGATGAATTCTTCTTCTTTTGTGTGTGTGTGTGTGTGTGTGTGTGTGTGTGTGTGTGTCTGTGTGGGCCACACCTGGCTGTGATCAGGGCTCACTCCTGACTCTGCACTCAGTGTCACTGTTGCCAAGGATAGGGACCATATGGGATGTTGATGATTGAACTCGGGTTGGTTGTGTGCAATTCAAGCGCCCTCCCCACTGTACTGTTGCTCCATTGATGAATTATTGTTACAATGCAAAACAATATTACGATTAAGGATCCTGTTTGTTGTCAGCTTTCATTTAAAGGTAATGCTAATACCTTTAGCTTAAAATAATGGCCTGATTTTTCCCTTCTTGACAAGATAATTTTAGAGACTGAAAAAGCACAAAATAAATCTCCTTCCAGACTTGATTCCTTTGTCAAGGCTTTGGAAGCAGACAGAGACTACTACAAGAACGAAACTCAGCTTTTGAGAAAAATGATAAGAAGTAGATCAAAAAGTCCAAGGCGCCCATCTCCATCGTCCAGGGTAGGTTTGGAAACATAAATATTTTGAAGTTTGTTCTATAAATTTGACTTCTACTGATATATTTAACCTAAGAATAATTGAGTCTAAGTTGGCATGCGTTGCTTTAGCAAAGAGCTTGGAAGACATCAATCTCTGGCACAGCAAGTCGTGATTTTTGTTTTTTATCAGAATTTATCAGACAAATGTGGAAGTATACACAAATGTGAAGCAATTTGGGATGAAGCTGTTAAGAAATATTTTTTTTAAATGTGTGTCATGACTTACAATAATATTAACTTAGACACCATCTACCAGAGTGCCAAACCCTACTACTGATGTTCCTAAGTTTACTTTTTTTTTTTTCTTTTTGGGTCACACCCGACGATGCACAGAGGTTACTACTCCTGGCTCTGCACTCAGGAATCACTCCTGGCGGTGCTCAGGGGACCATATGGGATGCTGGGAATTGAACTCCAGTCAGCCACATGCAAGGCAAAAGCCCTACCCGCTGTTCTATGGCTCCAGCCCCTTAAGTTTCCTTCTTATCTGCACCTCCAACCCTGTCTCAGTCTGCTTCTCATTCAGAGTGAAGCCAGAGATGATGTCCTGCCCCTCCCCTCCCCTCCACTCCCCTCCACTCTCCTCCCATCCCCTCTCCTCCCCTTCCCTCTCTTTCCTCCCTTCACCCATCCTCTCCTTTCTTCCCTCCTCTCCCCTTCCCCTCTTCCCCTGCTTTTCAGCTTCCCTTCACCTCCCCCCTGCAGTGCTTAGGGGCTACTCCTGGCTCTGTGCTCAGGATTATCTCTGGTAATGCTTTGAAGGCTCTCTGAGGTGCTGGAGATTGGGTTGGGGTTGGCCCCATGCAAAGCCTTAACCCCTGTCCTATCTCTCCCGCCTTCCCTGCACATTTTTAAGACACCACTGAACTATGGTATGCCAAAATTCAAGCCCCTGAATATATTGCCTGGTTTTGATTTTTGTTTTTTCCAGTCAGGTGTCATAAGAATAGTAAATTGTAAAGTTGGAGTCCCAGAATTTTGCTTGAGCACCTTTTCCTAGGACAGGATTCCGCATGCCTGAGCGGCAGGGAAATCCCTGCTGGACTGTTGTTCTCTATCCACTCTGCCCACCTACTCCTGCAGCTGGTTCTACAGCTTTTAATTCCAGGCTGTTGCTCCTGCACCACAGCAGAGCTCCTGGAACTCCTGACTAGACCCGCAGTTCCCAGGGGGACCCGGGCAGGAGTGTCTGTTTTGTAAGTCATTATTTGTAGGGGAGGGACCAGACATGGCAATGTACAGGGGCTATATCCTGCTCTCAGGCGACCGTTCTGGTGTCCAGGGGTGCCGGGAATTGAATCTAGGTTTCCAGCATGCAAAGCATGTGCTCTGGCCTATTGAGTTAATTCAATTTTTGGTGCATATTTTTCAGCGATGACAAGAGTGCTGCACATCCTTCCGTGTTTAGTCATCTTTAAAGTTATTTTTTCCTTAAGATAGTTTACATATAGCCATTTTTTCCCTAAGTAGAAATTGGGTGTCATCCTTTTCTATTTGTACTACATGTCAAAGACTTTCAAATCTCTTATAATTATAGGGTACAAATTGTGATATAGAGCTTATGAAGTCAGCAAGGGATCGTGAGGAACTTAAATGCATGCTGGAAAAATATGAACGTCATTTGGCAGAAATTCAGGGTAATGTCAAGGTTCTTACATCTGAGAGAGATAAGACCTTTCTTCTTTATGAGCAGGTAAAATTATTTGTAACTAAAATTTGAAAATAAATTTTAGAAATATGTAATTCTTTAAGTTCTATGAGAATGATAAATCTTTCTACTTAATATAAAAGGTAAAGGTAAAGGCCCTCCCGTTGATCGTCGATTTGCTCGAGTGGGCCCAGTAACGTCTCCATTGGAGACTTTGTTGTTACTGTGTCTGGCATATCGAATACTCTCGGTAGCTTGCCGGGCTCTCCGAGAGGGGTGGAGGAATCGAACTCGGGTCGGCCATGTTGGCCGCTTGTAAGGCGAACGCCCTACCCGCTGTGCTATCGCTCCAGCGTGGTTAAGACAATCTTAATAAAATGAGTTAACCCTGAGCATTGCTAGATGTGGTCCCCCAGACCAACCAAACAAAAACATATGTATATGATCCCCCATCCAAAAAATCATACAAATATATATATACACACAAAGACTGATTTTTTTTTGAATAAGAAATGAAGCATATGATAATGATGGCTTATGATAAGTTCAAAGTAAAAAAGATTGATTTTGAGTTAAAAATATTAACATCTCACTTTGATGTACTGTCTGTCACTTTTAAGTTCTGCCACATAATTATTTTTTTAAGAGAAAAGTCAGTTTGTAGGCAATTTAACTTTATCTTAGAGTAGTAGAAATCTTATTAGTAAGAATTTTTTCTTCTATTTTAACAATTTTTTTTAAATCACTATGATTTACAAAGTTTTTCACAGCTGAGTTTTAGACTCTTTAAGTATATAAATATTAAACTTCATATTTTACCCACCTTTTACAATATCAAATTTTATTTAGAATTTAGCTGTTTTGTGCAGTTATAGTTACGTTTATGAAGGATAGAAAAAAAAACACATTGTAAAATGCAGACCCTATTTTCTGTTTGAAATCTAGTTGTGGAGATGTGTGTGTGTGTGTGTGTGTGTGTGTGTGTGTGTGTGTGTGTGTGTGTTTTATTTAGGGGCCACACTTGGTCGTGCTCAGGATTTCCTCCTGGCTCTGTGCGGGCTCCTGGTGGCTCAGGGGGACTGTATAGGGTGCTGGGATTGAACCGGTCACCCACATGCAAGGCATGCATGCTGTATCACCTCCCAGCGCGTAAGATTGTCTTTTGCATATTGTTTGTTGTCTTCATACATGTAGTCTAGAAGATAAAAAAACAAATGCAGTAATGCTTTTTAAAGTTGTGATGAACAAAGAACTATTTGCTCAATGATGTCTGGTTGGAGTAGTTCGAGATTAATGGGGTTTCCGCTATCTTGAAAGGGGTAAGAAGAAATACTAAAGAGAAAGGAATGGTATGAGATGCAAAGGGTAAGATTAGTGGGCCGGGACATAGTAGAGGGGGGAGGGCATTTGCCCTGAACTGGGTAGACCTGGGTTTGATTTCCAGCACCCCACATGGCTTCCAATCCCACCAGGAGTGATCTCTGAGTGCAGAGCCAGGGTGAGCCCTGGATGCCATTGGGTATGGGCCCAACCCCCCCCCCCCCCGCCATCTCCCACAGAAAAGAGATTAATCCTAGAATAGGGGCCAGAGAGATAGTACAGGGGGTGTGGCATCTGCCTTAAGCTAGAATGACCCAGTTCAATCTCAGCACCACATGTGGCCCCTGGACCATCACGGGGGCCAGGATTAGCCCTGAGAGCCCCCAGATTTGGGCTCAACCCCCGCCCCCAACCAGAATTAAAACTAGATTAAGAGTTGTGTGTTAGAGTAAGGAGAAACAAAGAAATGAAGGTAGATTGAATTATTGGTCTGTAAAGACCAAAAGACTTTGCAGGGCATTGATCTCTGTGAGAACTCTTCAACTATGTTGTAGCATGAAAATATGTATACATATCATACATATGAATGAATTTGGCAGTGCTACTAAAAAGTCTAATTTATGGATACAGAAATTAGAGTTTATTATGTTTGCTTATAAAATAGGGCTGGAGCGATAGCACAGCGGTAGGGCATTCGCCTTGCACGCAGCCGGCCCGGCCGAGCCGGGTTCGATTCCTCCGCCCCTCTCGGAGAGCCCGGCAAGCTACCGAGAGTATTTCGCCCTCACGGCAGAGCCTGGCAAGCTACCCATGACGTATTCGATATGCCAAACACAGTAACAACAAAGTCTCACGATGGAGGCGTTACTGGGTGGATTCTACCATAAGCCCTGTGGTTTTTGTAACACATCCTCAAACCACTTCAGGGATGTGCCTGTGGTGCCTGGAACCCTGTGCTGGGACTCAGGCCAGGGTCAAGCATGTGCTCCATTCCAGCCAGCCACTGCACCATTGCCCAGTCCCAACAAGCGGGAATTGTTTGTTTGTATTTGGACACACCTGACAAAGCTCAGGACTTATACCTGGCTCTCTGTTGAGGGGGTCACTCCTGGCGGTGCTTGGGGAACCATATACAGTGCCAAGAATTGAACCAGGGTTGGCCATCTGTTGAGAAGTGCTCTGTGTTATTTCTCTGGCCTTCCACATGTAAAATGTAATATCTATCCCCAATGAAAAATGTCTTAAAAATTGGAAGAATAAGGGAGCTGGAGCAGTAGCACAGCGGGTAGGGCGTTTGCCTTGCACGTGGCCAACCTGGGTTCGATTCCCAGCATCCCATATGGTCCCCTGAGCACCGCCAGGGGAGATTCCTGAGTGCAGAGCCAGGAGGAACCCCTGTGCATTGCCAGGTGTGACCCAAAAAGAGAAAAAAATTGGAAGGATAAGAGTTATTGGTACTGTAAGGGAAAGATAGGTTTGGTTTCATATAAAGATGGCGGCAGTGCATTCAGGAATAATTGTCATTAAACAGTAAGTGGTGTAGAAAAGGCAAGAACTGAACACATAGATTTAGAAGTCATCTGCTTAAAGATTAGTTCTAAACTTTTGGAGTTGATGAGATACCTTAATGAGAGAGCTGTAAATAGAGGAATAAAGATGCCAGTTAGTGATCTTTGAAGTTTTATTCAGTTGGCAAAGAAATCTTCAAAAGAGATAATGAAGACAGAAAACTAAGAATGATGTTATAAGTCCAAGTGATCTTGAAGGGGGATGTGACATATTACAGGAACACATATTACAGAACTGAGGAAAGGCCACCAAATTTGGTGGGGTTGATTGTTATTTAAAATTTTATAGAGTGCTGAGAATGGGAGCCAGAGTTGAGACTGCAGTTGGGAGAGTGAGAGCTCCTGGGGTTTACCTTCAGTCACTCAAACAATCTCATCCTGAAGGGCAAGAGTTTCTAGAGAAATAAACCCTTTATTCTGGTCTGTGAATCCACTTCTATGAAAAATTGGAAATACTCACCTTGGGACTGGATTTCCCTTTAAATCCTACAAATGGTATCCAATTTGGCCCCATGTATAAGGGAACCCATTATATCTTTGAAAGGCGACATGAAAAGAACTGTTTCAGTCACAAAACAGTCTCATTTGTTGTTCTGAGACTTTGACTGGCCTCTGAACCTCAAGCACTGCTTGTTGTAAAGTGTCCAGTTGTTCGATGTTGCAATTGACTGTAGCCTACACTGTCCAGTGGTGGTGAGAGTCATTTTGGCACGGTTTGGTGAAATCATGCATCAGAACTGAGGTTTGGAGGACCATGCCCGCAGCAGCAGCCTCGTGATCATGGCAGTGAGTTCCAGGAGAGCAACTGTCAGGGCTCCGATGAATTGCTGGGCGCGCTGAGACAGGTGTGTCCTGACTATTGTCACGAGTCCTTCAGCAGGTCAGATTTACTGGCAGCCATTCATGTGACCTAACTTTTTGTAAAATAACATTGTAAGAAGCACCTTGGACCAGGAGGGAAGAATGAAGACAGGTGAATGGAGTACAGCCATAACAAGAAACCCTTTATAGAGTGGTGTTAGAGGAAAAGGAGCTCAAGCAAACGTATTAAAATGTTTGACACATGCTTTCATGTTTTAAGAGAAGTTATGATAGGTGTCATGGGTAAGTTGGAGCTGCTTTGAGCCATGAAGCGTCCATCCCAGTAGTGGCCTGGATTTAATTTCTACGGGCCAGTTATGTTCAGGGTAAAGCATTCTGTTACTCATCACCTAAGGTCGAGATGGGACATATATACACACCCTGTCCCCACCCCCCATCGTGCCATTTCAGCAGCCTGTGGGTCTGGATCTGAAGCTGAAGGGAGAAGTATAAGCCAGTTAGCCGCAGGGAGAAAATGGCATTTAGCATAATCCGGATCATCAAAACAATCAGGAACAAAATTTCCTCTAGGTCCCCAGTCTGTTACATGATAACCAAATCATAACAATCATAACCATGACAGAATGCCTGAGGTGGGGGGGGGGCTGGCATTCTGTCCAGTTCCTGGATGAGTATTTTCCATTTTTAATAGAAGTGGATTCACAAACCAGAATGGAGGGTTGACCTAGAAAAGTTAAGTTAGTGGAGCAAATATTTGTGAGAGAAAACAGTTTGTTGGTGATCAGAGGCAGTGTGCATTGTGGGCTTGCTATGGATCCATGTTGAGGGTAGAGAGAAAGACGGAGAAGTTTCAATACAAATGGAATCAAGGGAGTATCCTTGGGAGAAATTAAAAGGCATTCCTTTCTCATCCAGGAACTGAGGCATCTGGGGGTTCCAAAGAGAGAGTTGAAGAAAGGAAACATTAGTCCAAACACAGGGTCCCGTCATTGTCCAATCAATAACTTGTAAAAGAGAGGGGTAAGGAATATTCTGAATGTGACGCCATGATACTTTAAAGGAGTGAGGGGCCTTTCTGGTGTCCTCTGTGCCTGGCTCCTCCTCACAAATGTTCCTTGTGACTTCCAGCCAAGGTCAGCTTGGCCAGCCTGAGGGCTGAATCGGGCAGATTCGTGTCTGATGAATTGGACACTTGGTGAAGCATAACGGGACCCAGAATTTCTGTCATCTGTTGAAATACAGGCGTGACCTTTTCCTTCCGTGAAGAGCTTTCTGGCGACATTCTTTGTCAATTTTAACCCAAATAGGAGAATTAATAGTTTCCTGAGTGGAGGCATACTCCCTTTTTCATTTTTAATAACCGTAGCAAATTCTTCCTGCTGGGTAGTTAGTGTCCACTGTTGTGCTTCAGGACGGCTGACAGTTCCTCCTCTCTGGGGTGGGACTATCTGAGTTGGGGACACTGAGTGAGGGCGGACTCAATTAATGTCTCCTAGCAGTTTTGGAAAATCATTAAGAGTTTTGAGATTTTTATGGCAAACAGAATTTTTTTTTGGATTATATTACATATAGTAATATAATCCAGATATTCCTACAGGGGCAGCATCTGTTTTTTTTCTGTGGCTGTTTGTGATCCAGCTGCTGGCAGACATACCACTACATCTTCATACAGTCTCCCAGCTCTCTATCATTAGAACACACAAGATATCATCCATTAATGATTATTATAATCCATATAATAAACCTGGGGAAACTTAGTATGAGAACACAAAACCAATACAACCAAATATTGAAATTCCACTGTGCTGCTTCTTGGCCTTGAGCAAAGCCAGCATGGGCAAGGTGCCTGCTTTTTCGTCCTTAGCCAACAGCATCTCATAAGTTTTGCTCAGAATGACCTAGGGAGTCAAGTTTTGCTCTGGACTCATCACTGAACCACGTTGTCTATTGTGTGTACTGAGAAAGGCTCAAGCACATTTTGGCGACCACATGAAAACACTGGAGTGCCCAACAGGGGCCTTCACCCCAGGCAGCACATTGATGTGGGTCCATAGGAGGCACAGGCCTGAGTAGTCCATTCTTCTTTTTGTTGGATTTTTGGTCATACCCGGTGATGCTCAGGAATTACTCCTGGCTCTGCGCTCAGGAATTACTCCTGGTGGTGCTCGGGGAACCATATGGGATGCCAAGGATCGAACCTGGGTTGGCCATATCCCAGGGCAAATGCCCTCCCTGCTGTACTATCACTCTGTCCTGAGTAGCCCATTCTTAACCCTTTGTAAGACGGAGGCCAATTTTCCTCCAGATGGATGGGGAGAAGAGATGAAGTTCATGCAGCCTAGATGGAATTGACCACTTGGTTCTGATAAAGGTCTCAGCTGTGAGCCTCTGGGGAGCCGCCTTACCAAGCCGTCTCAGACTCAGGGCCCAAGGGAGTGGCATATACATCATCACACACATCCCCTTCATCTGCTACACTGGACGCTGAGGCATACGGAGAGATGGGGGTCTTTCTGGCTTGATACCAGTGGTGAATGTTAAATCGCTGGTACCGGGAAGGTTTTTCTACCTAGAGCTCTGGGAAAGCGCTTACCTTTCTTTGGGCCTTGGGCATGGGAGTAGCTGAGGGCATGAAACTTTGTTCTCCCAGGGACATCTTTCATTTTCTTAAAAGTCTCTTTACCCAACTCATGAGAAAAATCTTGCCTCTCGTATGGAATCTCCTCCCTATGGTACCTTCCAAAATCTGCGTACTGAGGTCCAGAGTCGTCCAAGTCACCCAGAATTGTGGAGGGATCTGAGCCCCATCCTTGAGTGCCTTGTAAACATCCCTAATCATTTCCAAACCTTGTCTCTAAAGTGCCTTTATCAGGAAACTGAGGATTAAATTTGTAGACAGTCTTAAGGCAAGATCAGAATTTTTCCAGGAAATACGATTTCCAGTTTGTATGAGAAATCAATAAAGGGCTTGGCTCACTCAGTCCATAGGAGAGATATCTACAGAGCTTGGCGCAGAACTGGTTTCATCCATTTTAGCAGGCAGGAATGGGGCTAGGAGTTAACTCCCAGGACCCTGGAAATCTGTTAGCCTACTCACTGCTCTAAGTGGAGGAGTAGACTAGATTCTAACTCCCTGGAAAATGTGTTATCCCACTCAGCTCTTTGTGTGTGTGTGTGTGTGTGTGTGTGTGTGTGTGTGTGTGTGTGTGTGTGTGTATGGCTAGGACCCTGGAAAATCTGTAAAGTGGGGGTCCACCAAATGCAGTCCTTCCACTTTCAGGGTCTCTTTGGGTGCCATTTGTCACCATTCTGCAAGGACCAAGTTCCTTGGTGTGTTAGGGACCAGTAGTCATTCCCCCTGCTGAGGGATGGAAGAACAGGTTACAGGCTGGTGGCTGGCAACATTTTAATTGAAATCAAACAGAACTCTTATAGGAAAAGTGTAAGGGCTGGGGAGCAGGGATTAACCTGGGTTTGGTTGAACATAAGCATAAATATGGGTTTGGTTGAACATAAGTATAAACAGATGTAAAGCTCTTCCTTCGGGGGAAATACTTTCAAGAGAAAGTGTGGAGCACACCTGTTGGTGCTCAGGGCTTACTCCTGGCTCTGACTTGGATTACTCTTGGCTAGTCTTGCTCATGGGCTGCCAGAGGTAGATTACTCTGGACCCAAACTGAGTGCTGTGTGTAAAGTGATATGCATGATATCCTTTCAGTAACAGTATTGCAAACCACAGCGCCTAAAAGGGAAATAAAGGAGGGAGGGAGGGAGGAGAGAGGGGGGAGAAAGACAGGGAAGGAGGGAAGGTGTCTGCCACAGAGGGGAGAGGGCAGGCAGGAGGGAAAGGGAGACATTGGTGGTGGGAAATGTACACTGGTGAAGGGACAGTGCTGGAACATTGTATGACTGAGACTCAATCATGAGCAGCTTTGTTACTTTGTGTCTCACAGTGATTTAATTAAAAAAAAACAGGGGTTCTCCTGCATGCAAGGTAAGCACCCTACTCGGGGTATTATGACTGCAGGCCAAAGAGTGTCCTTCTAAATTTGTTAAATAAGAGTGTATTTCTGTGTGTTTAAATCAGGCACAGGAAGAAATTGCTCGACTTCGACGAGAAATGATGAAGAACTGTAAGTCTCCTAAGTCAACCACAGCACATGCTATCCTGCGCAGGGTGGAGACAGAGAGAGATGTGGCCTTCACAGATTTACGAAGGATGACCACAGAAAGAGACAGTCTGAGGGAAAGGCTGAAGGTTTGGAGAACTCTTCTCTGTCTGAGTGTAGATGGCAAGAGCACTAAGGCAATGGCACTGAAAATATTTTATCTTATTTTTTAAACAGATTGCTCAAGAGACAGCATTTAATGAGAAGGCTCACTTGGAACAAAGGATAGAAGAGTTGGAGTGTACAGTTCATAATGTAAAGAAAAATTATTTTTGTACTTATGGCTATTAAATCCACTGTTAGGGGATTTCCTTCTCCTTTTTTCTTAGCATTTATAATTCTATGTGTTTAGACTCATTTAAGGTTTTATGTATGGTATAAATACTCTTCAGCATTTTTTTTATTGTTGCTTTTTCATTCTAAAAATGTAAGGACTTTTTCTGTTTGTTAAAAGAGTGTTCATTATGAAAAAAGTAAACACTAGTGTGACTGGAGAGACAGGAAAGGCAGTAGGGCACTTGCCTTGCATTTAGCAGATCCCAATTCAAATCCCGCGCACTAGATGTGGTTCCCTGAGAACTGCCAAGGATCACTCCTGAACGCGAGCCAGGAGTAGCCCCCGAGCACTTCCAGCTGTGGTCTCAAAGAGCACAAAAACTCTGGGGATGGATTCTCAGGCATTTCAGCAACCTTTCACATCACAGTCTTGCTGAAGGCAACGCTGTTGAATAGAGAGAAATACTTATTCTACCTAAAGAAGAGTTAAAATAGATGAAATTATGCAGAAATAAAAATCAAAGATAAAAGTGTGTTTAAACTAAATTTAAATTGAAATAGCACATTTTTAAATTTAATTTAATTTTTTTTAATTAAAACATTTTTAATAGTGAGACATCATGAGGTACAGTTGCAGACTTACACATTTTTGTGCTTGGGTTTCAATTATACAATGATCAAGTACCCATTCCTCCACCAGTGCCCATCCTCCACCACCACGGATTCCAGTATCCCTCCCACCCCCATCCCCCCCATCCTACCCTGCCTCTGTGGCAGGGCATTCCCTTTTGTTCTCTCTCTCTTAGAAAAATCACAATCACAAATCATCCTGTTATTCGTCGATTGCCTCTAGCAGGCCCCAGTAACGTCTCTTTCATCCTAGCCCTGCGATTATATTCAAGGCTTTTTAGGAGAATGAGACCCATCATTGTTACTGGTATTTGGCATATTGGGTACGCCATGGGGAGTTTGCCAGACTCTGCCGTGTGGGCAGGCTACATTCGGTAGCCTGCCAGTTTGTCCAAAGTAGGAATGAGATAATAAGATGTCATAATAAGATGTGGCGCGGCCCTATGGCTTTGTCCCTCTGCCAGTACCTTCATGTGTGCGGAGAGTGGTCTCAGCATGGTGGTGGCTGGTCCTGGAGGTCTTTGGCTGCTGGAGCCCTGGTCGGGGCGGGGAGGAAAGCTTGACCCGCTCCCCTCCAAGGGGCCCCGGCAAGGACAGCCAGGCATGGGGGCAGGAGACTGCACTGTTCTCTCTCTTAGAAATAGCACATTTTTACTAATCAAGGATTTGAGATGTTATATATTGAGATGTAACATTAAAGAACTAGCTTTCTCTTTCAAATTTAATTAAATACACTTAAATTCTCACTATTTTTACACTAATTAGTAAAAATCAATAGATGGTAAAAGATTTTCCCCCTGAATTCATATATATGTACATACATATATATGTACATACATATACATATATGTAATTTGTTAATTATACCCAATTTGTTCATGTTGGACAGCAAATTCAAATTTCTTTGAAAGGGTTAGGGCCCCTGCAAGATTTCAGTCTCTATTGCCCTAGTTCAGTCCTTTGACACCTCAAGGTCTCCATGTAGCTCAGGATGTAACCCAGTACCCCCTGAGCTTAGCCAGGGGGGACCCTGGAGGCCTCCCAGCATTGTTGGGTTGGTCCCTGGCATGACAGTGCTGAGCAGTGCTGTGCTGTTGGTTCCTCACATTCAATCACTGGCTCATTTGCCAATTCTTACCAGGAGTGGTCCTCTCTGAGCACTTCTTTGGAAGCCCTCCCAACCCTTCCTGCCATGCTCCATACCTCACTCCCGTAAAAGTATTTTAAATAGGATGTGGATGTTGTAATAAAATCAAACCAGACTGAAAATATAGCCGGTCGTAGGCTTCATAGACAGGCTAGACGGTGCTACCTTATCCTCACCCTTACTCCACTGTGCCTGTTCATGAACTTCCTGCAGATTGTGCTCTGAGCACTCACCACATAAATCTGCCATGCAGTTTCTATAAGCAGTTGGCCGCTTTAAGCAGATCACTGATAGATTATGGTGAAAGAAATAACCTTGTCATTCTACTTGCATAGCTTGATGATGAGCGTATGGAACAAATGTCAAATATGACTTTGATGAAGGACACCATAACCACTGTGGAAAAAGAAATGAAATCACTAGCAAGAAAGGCAATGGATACAGAAAGTGAACTTGGCAGACAGAAAGCAGAAAATAATTCTTTGAGGTAAATTAAATTACCTTTAAACAATAATAGTTTACTATAACCAATAGCTCTGCTTTTTTATAATGTATTTTGTAATGATAATTAAGCTATACATTTTAATCTATGAAAGGATTGTAGGAACTTCTGCACATAATGATCAGTTCTAGACTGGTAATGCCACGCAAAAGTTGAATTCAAACTTCTAATAATCTTTTTTTTTCTTTTTATATTAATTTTTTTAATATTTTCAGAAAGCCTTATTGTTGAACTGAAAGAGCATTTACTAAGTCCTAGCTATAGAGGATTACTTGGTAATTTACCTTTTGTTCTGAGATCTAGTAGTATAGGAAACACAAATGGCAAGTTTAACATTAACTTAGATCAATGACTGGTTTATAATGAAAAGTCATAGCAGAGATATATCACTGTAGCACTGTCCTCCCGTTGTTCATCGATTTGCTCGAGTGGGCACCAGTAACGTCTCACAACAAATTGTGAGACTTGTTGTTACTGTTTTTGGCATATGAATACATCACGGGGAGCTTGCCAGGCTTTGCCGTGTGGGCAAGATACTCTCAGTAGCTTGCCGGGCTCTCCAAGAGGGGGGAAGGAATCATACCTGGGTCGGCCATGTCAGCTGCGTGCAAGGCAAATGCCTCACCCGCTGTACTATTGTTCCAGATAGCAGAGATATAGGACATTTTATTACTTGGATGACAAGAGCTGAACTTTTATAAACCCCTCCACATATTGGTTTTGTATGATCGCAGAAGAAATACCAGTTAAAGCAACCTTCAGGATGTAAAATGTTTTAGACTTCCGGAACCAGAAAGATAATATACTGGATAAGGCACTTGCCTTGCATGCGGCCGAGGAGGTTTGCTCCTTGTTACCCTATGTGGTCTCCTGAACCCTGCTGGGATGACCCCTGAGCACAGAGCCAGCAAGCCTAAGGACCTCCAGTTGTGGCACAAAAACTGACACAAATAAAAACTTTATTGTTAGTGATTTTTATTTCACACTGATGTGAGAAATATAGGTTCTTCAGATTTGGTAAGTATCTGTGAGGTTTTGTGAAATAGTCCAGATGAGTGTGGGATATTAGGTCACTGCTGAAAATTGGTTTATATGAGTTCCCTCTGATCTTTCAAGGGCCTGTCCTATGTACATTTGGTATGTACATTTGAGTCACTTGTCAGGACAGATAATCAGTCGAATTCTTTTCCTTCATTTAATTTTAATTTCCTATTTAACAGTGTATTTCAAAATCATATAAAGTAATAGTGAAATACAACAATAACAAAGAAGACCTTGGAAAATAGAGAAAAATGTAAATAAAATATAAATATATGATTCTTTAACTTAGGGAAAAACTGCTAATGTATAAATATTCCTAAACAGAAATATATTTGCGTATATATTAACTTTCTAGGTAATTAACATCATCTTATATCAAGTTATATATTTGGTCTAGTTCAGTTAACCATATGTAACAAGCATTTTCCAATGTTATTTAAAGTTCTTTGAAAGTGTCTAGTTGTTCATGACAATAGTTATAACAGATGTATAATTTTGCTTTTTTGTTGTGTGAGCATTTGGTTTAACCATTTTATTACAGCGTAATGAAGACATGAAAGACCAGCAGCACTTCAAAGGTCTTCTTTGCTAATACCATGAATATACTAAAGTTAACACAGAAAACTCCAGTAAATATGAAGACTAGGCATATCATCCCATATAAAGAATAGGCATGTAATCCCAAAATCACTCAGGGCTTTCTCTCCTCTCTGAGGTCTATCTTCTCTCTTAAAAGTCTATCTTCTCTCTTCATATTTTCTTTACTGGAGTTTTCTGTAGACTTTAGTATATTCATGGTATTAGCAAAGAAGACCTTTGAAGTGCTGCTGCTCTTTCATGTCTTCATCACATTTTTTTTTCTGCTGAGATTTCTCCTCTTTTGTGGTAGTTCAAACTTCTCCAGGACCAGTGCTGGCATCACTTGGAGTCTTACCCAACTTTAGTTACTGTGTATATAAAGTGGGTCATGCCTTAATGCATTTCTGACTACTTTAGTGCTAGTAGCAGAGTAACTTCTTTAAATCACATCTTGATTTAATACTTCCAGGAATTCATTGCTAGCTACCACTCATCCATCTCCTCCACCCCCCACCTGTCTGCCTACTTCAGGCTGTTGAAATTTTTTGGTGTGCCAAATTCTAAATTGGCTTTGAGCCCTAAAGGTATAAGTGTCCTGTGATAGCACAGTGGTGGGGCATTTGCCTTGCATGTGCAGCCGGCCTGGCTGACTGGTGTTCGATTCCTCCGCCTGTCTCAGAGAGCCCGGCAAGCTACTGAGAGTATCTCACCCTCATGGCAAAGCCTGGTAAGCTACCCGTGATGTATTTGAGATGCCAGACACAGTAACAACAAGTCCCACAATGGAGATGTTACTGGGCCTGCTCAAGCAAATTGTTGAACAACGGGAGGACAGTGCTATAGTGCTATTACAGCGTAGTTGACAAGGCATTTAGTAAATTAGATTTATTTGAAATGACAAGTTTGACAAGTTTGGTAAGTCCTGCAATAACTTCAACACAGTCGAGAGGGTAGTCCTGCCTCAGGGTGCTTGTGACATTGCTTTGGAACTGCCACATCTTTTCCAGGGAGCTATTGATTTGCTCTCTCTTAAGGAGGGCTTTGAAAATTTTTTTCTAAAAAGTTCTATTAATGAAATAATATATATAGAGAGAGATTTTTTGTTGGACAATTTATTCAACATGATTGTTTTGACATTGAAGGATGTAATCAATATTTTATGCTTCCCTTCATGTTTTTTTCTTAGTAGTTTTCTATTTCATGCATGAACTACACAATAATTTTTATTGTTTCATTTTTGGAACACAGCAAATAAAGCTGTTGTATTTTTTTCACTTTTTAAAAAAAGAATCGCCATGAGATACTCAATTACAGAGTTGCTCATGACTGAGTTTCATGTCATGTTCTAATACCCATTCTTTTAGCAGTGTACGTTTCCTGCCACCAGTGTCCCCCACCTCCTTTACCGTCTGCCTTTATGGCAAACATTTTCTTTTCTCTCCTTTTTTCCTTTTAGACACTGTGGTTTGCAGTACTGTTACTGAAAGGGTATCATGTCTATCACTTTACCTTTTTTCAGACGATTTTTTATGTCTGAAAAAATTATATTAAAATATTTTAATATAATTTTATATAATCTTTGTATGAATGATGTTTTTATTTCTCATGGATAAATACCTAAATTGTGGTGGTTTATTTTATTTTGTGTGTGTGTGGTTTGGGCCACACCTTGCAGTGCTCAGGGTTTACTTTTGGACCACTCCTGGTGGGCTCTAGGGGAGCATACGGGGTAGGTGCGGGGAATTGAACCCGGGTTGGCCACATGCAAGGCAAGCGCTCTACCTGTTGTGCTATCACTCCAGTCCCAAAAGTCATAAAATGGTGTTTAATTGTCAAAGAAACCAGTAGACTGTTTTTCAGAGTGCTGTTACTGCTTCCATTGATATTCTGAGCAGTAACACTGCTGAGTATTTTAGTGGTCGCAAATCTTCAGCAACATTTAGGGTGCAGTGTCATTTTCTCTCTTGAGATCACTCCCGGCAGAGAGCTCAGGGGACCTTGTGGTGCCAGAATTGAACACCACGCTCCTGAATCAAAGTCTTCTCCAGTCCTTTGAGCCATCAGACCAGTTCCTGAAGAATCCTTTAAAATCATAGCCACTTTCTAATAGGTATATATTATGGTTTTAACTTGCCATCCTAAATGACTAATGGTCTTGAATATTTGCTTATGTGCTTATATGCCATACATATGTCTTCTGCAGCTTTTATTGAAGTATTTATATCACTAAGGCATAAAAATCCTTGCTGTAATCTAGATATAGTCCTCTTTCAAATATATTATTGGGCTACACTAGCATGCGACAGGGACAAATGGAGACGTTACTGGCGCCCGCTCGAGCAAATCAACGATTAACGGGAAGTCAAGTGATCAAGTGATCAAGTGATCAAATATATTTTCCAGCTTATGGCTTACTTTTTATTTTCTTAACTGTCTTTTAAAGAACACATTGAATTTTGATTAAGTACAATTTATTAATTTTTAAATATATCTAGTTTTTGTTTATCTTAAATCATTGTTAAATCTGCAATCACTGAGATTTTTCTCCCATGCAAATTGATGAACAACAGGAGGACAGTGACAGTGACAGTTATTTTTTTGTACTTTTGGTTCTTAGATTCACATAAATAATTTATACTGCATTTCAAGTTAATTTTTATATATATTACAGGGTATGGGCCAGAGCGATAGCATAGCGGGTAGGACGTTTGCCTTGCACTTGGCTGACCTGGGTTCAATTCCTCCACTCTTCTCGGAGAGCCTGGCAAGCTACTAAGAGTATTCCACCTGCACGGCAAAGCCTGGCAAGCTACCTGTGCATATTGGATATGCCAAAAAAAGTAACAACAAGTCTCACAATGGAGACGTTACTGGTGCCCGCTTGAGAAAATCGATGAACAACGGGAGGACAATGCTACAGTGCTACAGTACAGGGTATAGATCAAAGTTAACTCTTTTTTGTTATCTCTTGCTCGGTTGGTCCAATAGAAAAACTTTTTATACTGAATTGTTTTGTATCTTTGTGAAGAGTTTTGCCTATTTCTTGATGATCTGTTTTCTCCCATAGTTTTTTAAAAATACATTTTGATATTAATACAAAGCTCATGATTATTTTAGTTTTTTTTGAGGACCCCCAAATCCCTGGTTGTTCATGGGTCATCTGGACTCAATTCTCAAATGAGGGCCTAGGATGAGAACTGCGGTCTCTGCTATACTCCTCCAGGCCCTGCTGCTCTCAGGGGAGCAGTTATCCACTTCCTCCTTTTTACCCCTTGGTGCTCCATAGGGTGTTGTTGTTTGCGGGAAAGCTTCCCTGAAAAACAAGAAAAAAATTTACTGTTTACGTGATTTATTTTAGGGGCTAGAGAAATGGTATGGTGGGTTAGCCTGTTGCCTTGTATGAGCCCAATCTGCATTTGTTTCCTGCAGCCCACAGGGCCCCTCAATCATTGCCAGGAGTTATCACTGAGCATAAAAACTAGGGGTGAATCCTGAGCACAGCTGGATGTGTCCAAAACACAGAAACAGATAGGTATATTTTAGTATCAGAATGTCTTTGAAATTCTACTTCAGATAAACCAACACTTATGGAAAAGCTGGAATGCCTTTGTAACCTAGCAGCATTTTTGTTGGTGCTGGGTTTGGACCTCTGGCTTAGTGCTCAGGGGTTGCTTCCAGTGGTGCTTAGCGATCCTATGCAGTGAATGAAGGGGTTACATCCTCCTCCCCCCCCCCCCAAGCAAAACTTGTGCTTCAGCCCTTGGAGCTATCTTTCTGATTCTAGCACTTTTAAAAAAATTTTTATTAGTGAAACACCATGAGGTACAGTTGTAGACTTAAAAATTTTTGTGCTTGGATTTCAATTATACAATGATCAAGTACCCATCCCTCCACCAGTGCCCATCCTCCACCACCACGGGTCCCAGTATCCCTCCCACCCCCCATCCCCTCCATCCCACCTTGCCTCTGTGGCAGAACATTTCCTTTTGTTCTCTCTCCGTTTGGGTGTGGTGGTTTGCAAAAGAGGCTTTGAGTAGCAATCATGTTTGGTCTATAGTCTACTTTCAGCATGCTTCTCCCATCCTGGGAGGATCCTCCCAACACTAGCCTTCTTTTTTTAATGATCTGTTTGCTTGTATCTGTGCATTAAATTTTTCTGAGCTAAAAAATTAGAATCTCATATAGAGTTGAATAATTTCTAGAACGTTCTATTAATAAATTAGTTTGGGACTCTGTGTCCGGTGATTTCAAGTCTAATTCAGTTTGAATTTATGTATTTGAGGCTAAGATATTTCATCATTTAAGTATATTCTAGGTGGCATGAAAAAAAAAACCAAAAGAATCAAAAGAACACTGAAAATAACAAGCAGTTACATCAATGTTAATACACAAAGCCAATTGCTTTGCAATATATCAGCAATGAAGCAACAAAATATTAAATTAATGACATTACAGCACTGAGAAGCCCCCCAAATAAAACATTTAAGTATAAATGTAAAATCGTGTAAGATTTATATAAAGAAAAGTAAAAAAAACTCTAGTGAATAAAATCAAAGGATTAAATAAATCGGGATATATCCCCTTGGAAAAGCTGAGTATTTGTCAAGATGTTCTTCCCAATTTGATCTATAGGCTTAGTACAAATTGAAAGCAGTGCAAGTTACTCATTTATTTAGGCTTTTGGGGGCACACCCAGAGATGCTCAGGGGTTCCTTCTGACACTGCACTCAGGAATTACTCCTGGTGGTGCTTGGGGGAACAAATGAGTTGCCAAGGATTGAACCCCCCAAAAATTACAATGGGGAAAGTGGATGAGGTGCAGAAGAGGTGGAACAAAAGTAACATAAGGATGGTGATAGATGTTTTTGGACACTTCAGTGGTGGTAAAGGTACAGTAACTTTGTACATTAAATATAAATAATAACACTATTGTAACCATTACCATTAACACGGTTGTAGCATCATTCCCTAAACTGCAATTTTTTAAATTAAAGAAACAAACAAATCTTGCTGGAAAAAATAGCACAGGAGTTAAAGAACCTTGCCTTGTAGATGGCCAACTCTGGCTCGATCTCTAGTACTACATGCAGTCCACTGAGTACTGTCAGGAGCACTACTAGGCATATCTCCCCAAAAGCCAAAAACAAAATACGTTTAAATATGGCTGGGGAGGCAGATCACCATACCGAACACATGCTGTGATGCTGGGGACCCACCTTCACCTGTGAGGCAGCATGGCCCCTGAGCATGGCAGAACAGCCCCTGAGCACAGAGCCAAGAGTCACTCCTGATCATCAGGGTCCCCAAATCAAACCAGCAAGCAAAAAAGCTACAAGACTTTGATAGTAAGGAAATTTAAGGAGATGAAAACAAATGGAAAGACGTTTTGTGTTCATGGGTGGAAGACTTAATATTGCTTCAGTGGATATATTATGTAAATATATTTACACATTAAATACGATCCCAATCAAAATATGAAAGGTGTTATTCACACACATAGAGGAAACAATCCAAAACTTTTGGTGGATCTACAAGAAGACTCAAATAGAACAAAATTAAAGAAAGAAACGGAATTAACTTTTAAATTTGAACTATACTATCAAATCCTAGGAATAAAAACAATATACTCTAGCAGGTAGATTGGTTGCCTTGCACCTGGCCAACCTGGTTGGAACCCAGCATCCCACATGACCCCTGAGCCTGCTGCTAGTGACCGCTGAGCACAGCTAGAAGTAAGCCCAGAGCACAGTCAATTGTCACCCCAAAACAAAACAAAACCCCAATAAGGTGCTGACACAAAAATAGTTAACGTTGACCAACGCAATAGAATAGAAAGCCCAGAATTCATAGCAAATTTATATGGTCAAAGTAATATTTGGAAAGTGAGCCAATAATGCCCACTGGGTAAAGTATAGTCTTCAACAAACAGTGCTGGGAAAAATGAGACGTACATGCAGAACAATTAAATTGGGTCATTTTTTTTCATACCACTCACAAAAATTAACTTGAATTGTTACTAAGGCATGAACGTAGTACTTGAAGACATAAAGCTCCTATAAGAAAACATAGGGGAAAGCTCATCAGTAGAGGTCTTTGCAGTGATTTTTTTAAAAATATGAACCAAAAACACCAAAGGAACTTTCTACAAATCGAATCATACCAAACTAGAAGATTCCATGCATACATACTATTAATGAAATGACAAGAGTGGGAGAAAAATTCTGTAAGCTAAAAGTCAATAAGAGGTTGATAACCAACATAAATAAATTACTTAGTCAACTGAATAACAATAAAGCCCCACAAATATCCATTTAAGATACATAGAAAGTGTATTTAAATTACCAATATTTTATATTTAAGGTTTTTCCCCCCCTCCTTCTCTTCCTACTACTGTGTCAGTGCCTTGAAGTAGACACACTTGGTCGGGGTGAGCCTGAGCCCTTGAGGGCTCCCACAGAGCCACAGGAGGGAAGGCCAGGAAGCAGACTCCAGCCTCTTGCTGGAGAGGCAAGTGCCAATTCCCAAGGCCCTGGCATGCCGTTTCGGGGCTGGGGCCCATGTGGTCATGCTTGGGGCACATGTGATGCTGGACTGAACTCAGCTCAGGCCTCCTCTCTGTGCAGCTGAGCTCAGGCTTTCATCTACCTCTCTGCTCCCTGCCATGGAGTGGCAGTGGGACTGGGCATGTCACTCAGTGGCAGATCACCTGCTTCACACGTATGAAGCCCTGGGTTTGGTCCCAAGTACCAAAAATGGATGAATGAATAAGTAATAAAAAAGACATTTTCTGAAGAGAATATCTGAACGGTTAACAGATACCTGAAAAGATTCTCAGCATTGCTAACCCACGGGGAAATTAACATCACAGTGAGAGTACTTAGATCTGATAGACTGGCTGGTAGAGACAACAGGTGCTGTGAGGGTGTGAAGGAAAGAGAACTCTTAAGACATTTTTGATGGAAATGTGAAGTGGTCAAATCACTATGGAAAATAATATGAAAAGTATTAAAAATGTTAAAAATAGATGTACTATAGAATTTAGCAGTTATACTTATGGACTGGAGAAGCAATAGCACAGCGGTAAGGCGTTTGTCTTGCAAGCTGCCAGCCCGGCTGAGCCGGGTTCGATTCCTCCACCCTCTCTCGGAGAGCCCGGCAAGCTACCGAGAGTATTTCACTCGCACAGCAAAGCCTGGCAAGCTACCTGTGACATATTCAATATGCCAAACACAGTCACAACAAGTCTCACAATGGAGATGTTACTGGGCCCGATCCAGCAAATTGATGAACAATAGGAGGACAGTGCTACAGTGCTACTTATGGACTGATCTTTAAAACATGCAAACAGGATTTTTATGCACCTCTGTGTTCGTTCACAATAATCAACATATGAAAACACCCCAATTGTTCATCAAAAGATGAATGAACATAGAAGATGTAGTGAAAATAACTGGAGTATGTTTCATCCATTCTAAAGAACATTATTCCATTTTGAAATGGCTGAAACTTGAGCATATTATGTTAAGTGAAGAAAAAAAAAGACAAATACTATATCAAATCACTTAATATATGGAATGTATAACTACTATACCTCTGGGGAAAAAAAGAAAATGGAGGTTACCAGGGAGTGATGAGTTGAGGGGAATTAGATTATTGTGTTTAAAGATGGAAACTTGTAAACGAGTAATTCCTTAGAGATCTATTGCACAGTATAATGAATTGAAACATTACCACACTATATTTAATGTTATAAATAAATTTATATTGGAAATTTATGATGCATCGAAGTAGCGCTCTGTACGCATTACATTATAAATGTTACATGTTACATGTCAGATTTATTCAATAAAAAGTACACAGTTTTGGGGACTGGAGGAATAGTACAGTGGGGAGGGCATTTACCCTGCACGTGTTTGGTCCCCTGAACTCAAGAACTACACCCATGTCAGGAGTAGTTCTTGAGTACCAAACCAAGAGTAGAGTAACCCTCGAGTACTACCAGGTGTGACCCCCCCAAAAATAAAATAAAGTACATGGTTATTAAGTACAATAAAAAGTTTAAAAACGCAGCCATTTCAGAATTGGTTTTATTATTGCAATGTTTGCAGAATTTTATATGAAAACACAGAAAAAGATCTTTCCGATACTCAACGACACCTGGCCAAGAAAAAATATGAACTACAACTTACTCAGGAGAAAATTATGTGTTTGGATGAAAAAGTTGGTAAGTTTCTTTTTGTGATACATTTTTAAAATTCTGGTAGAAAAATATTTTTCATCTTTCGTTATTACAAACTTTACTTGGAAAATGACCTTTATTTTGTGAATCAAAATTGATAAAATTTTTTATTGTAAAAGTTTTTTTTCTTTTAGGGTCATAATTTATTGGCTTCATACTTTGCAATGAGGAAATAACAATAAGTAAAGCAGCAACTCTAGATGCGATAGCACAAGCAGTAGGGCGTTTGCCTTACACGCGGCCAACATGGCCGACCCGAGTTCGATTCCTCCGCCCCTCTCAGAGAGCCCAACAAGCTACCGAGAGTATCTCGCCCGCAAGGCAGAGCCTGGCAAGCTCCCCGTGACGTATTCGATATGCCAAACACAGTAACAACAAAGCTCCAATGGAGACATTACTGGGCCCGCTCGAGCAGATTTATGATAACAACTTTTTCATTTCATTTTTCATTTCATCATCCTGTTATTCGTCGATTGCCTCGAGCAGGCCCCAGTAATGTCTCTTTCATCCTAGCCCTGAGATTATATTCAAGGCTCTTTAGGAGAATGAGACCCATCATTGTTACTGGTATTTGGCATATTGGGTACGCCAAGGGGAGTTTGCCAGACTCTGCCCTGTGGGCAGGCTACATTCGATAGCCTGCAAGTTTGTTCAACTTGGAGGGGAGTGGGTTGAGCTTTCCTCCCCACCCCAACCAGGGCTCCGGCAGCTGAAGACCTCCAGGACCAGCCACCACCATGCTGAGACCACTCTTTGCACACATGAAGGTACTGGCAGAGGAACAAATCCACGTGGGTTCCGGGGCCGAGATCTCCAAGCCTACTCGGATTGTAGTCGAGCATTCTCCACCCAGATCCTCCAAATTCCAGTAGGCGGGAGTCACACCCACCACCTGGCCCCCTGGCGCCGTGTAATCCCATCAACGGCCAAGACTCAGAGACTATAAAATCCAGCTCCCAGGACATCTTTTTTATGACATCTTATTATCTCATTCCTACTTTGGATAACAACTTTAAAGATATTATACGGTCAGATAGGTAGCACTTGCCTGGACTATAACCAACCCCAGTACAATCTATAGCACCTCATATGGACCCCAGCACCACCAGTAATGAACCTTGAACACAGAGCTAGGAGTAAACCCAAAACATTACTGAGTGTGGCCCCATCTCACCCCCAAATAACTAAATATTATTTTGTGACTTGCTTATAACTGTTGTAATGAAATACAATACATATGTATTACACTTGGTGGAAGTGTATATATTATAGATACATTTTATAAAATTTTCTATTAACTGTGATTTTTATAAAAATATTGTAATTTTTATAATTCATTAAAATTTTCATAAAATAATTTTATCACTAAAATTATAGAGTAGAACTTTTTTTAAGAATTTTTTTGTTGTTTTGGGGCCACACTCATGCTATTGCAGGGGTTAAATCTGGGTCAGCTATCTGCAAGGCAATAATGTAAGGCAAGTACCTTATTCAATGTACTATTCCTGGGAAGGACTATTTTTAATAAAGTCACAGACAATTTTAAAATGAAAGAAATAGTCTTTCAGTGGGACGTTTCTTTAATGTAAATTCAAAGTTAAATATTTTGTAATTTTTTCAGGGCAAATAATATAAGTTAATATTTTATTTTTAATAGATTTGACTTTCTTGGTAATGGAACTCAATTATGTATGTTTTAGGGTACAAAATGATGCCTCTTCAAAATACCACACCATAACCACCAACAGAGTTCCAGTATTCCTCCACCACAGTCCGTTGGTCTCACTTCCTCTTTAAAATTGAAGGGTTTTGTTTGTTTGCTTTCTTGTTTGTTTTTCTACCACATGTAGCTGTGCTGAGGGGTTGCTCCTGGTGGTGCCAGGATTTGAATGTTAGCTTCTCACTTCACTCAGTGTGTTAAGCTTCATTGTTCCTAGAATAATTTTTTTTACCTTATCTATAATATGGCAGAGTCTGGCAAACTCCCCATGGCGTACCCAATATGCCAAATACCAGTAACAATGATGGATCTCATTCTCCTAAAGAGCCTTGAATATAATCTCAGGGCTAGGATGAAGGAGACGTTACTGGGGCCTGCTCCAGGCAATCGACGATTAACAGGATGATTTGTGATTTTTGTGATCTATAATATGGTTTTAAAATGTCTGTCATGAACAATTACATAGTTATTTAATTTAATTATATTGTGGTGCTGGCAATTGAACCCAGGGCCTCAAACGTGCAAAGCAAATGCTTTACCATAAGCATATTCCTGACCTAGAGTTTATTTTTATTGAGGTAGGAAATGTCAAAAGAGAAATGTAAAAAAGGAAATACTGAAGAACCAATTTTAGAACTTTCAAGTAAGTGAAAATGTAAATATCTCAAGAAATACCAAAGAACCAGTTTTAGAAATTTAAAGTCCAAGTGAAAATGTTTGTATCTCAAAAGAAATCTAAGTTAAAGATATGAATTGGGGACGCTTCAGTATATGAATGATACTCTAAGGACATGAAGTCACCTAGGGGAAGTAGAGAGTAAAAAAGTGCTTTTTGGACCCAGCAAGATATGAAGAAGAGAAGGAAAACGCACAGTGACTGCTGTTTGGGTAGCAAGAGTGAAATGCTTTTAAAAGGAGGGTATTATCAATTTTCAGATATTGGGGGGGAAGGATTGGGGTCCATCAAGCAATATCCAGAGGGCCTAGGTTGTGTGTGTGTGTGTGTGTGTGTGTGTGTGTGTGTATTCACTCCCAACTATGCTTGGTCTGGCTTTGGGGGCTAGGGTGCCAGTGCTTGCCTGTGGTAGTGGTGGTGCTGAGATTGAGTCCTGCCAGGCTGCTCTGTCACCGCCCTCCAGGACGGTGCTGTGCCAATGCCTGACCAGGCCTCTGCGCTGTGCACTCCAGCACATCTGAGCTTCTGAGGACCTCCTGACAACAGTTAGATTACGTGAAATAATATGGAGATGAAAATATTGATTGGATTTGGTACATACATGAAGGTAATAAAGCTTGAACAAGTGTTGGCTCTGGACCAAAGAATTGGGAAGTAAGGAAGTAGGGACAGGAGAATTCTCATGAGAAATTTACTGGCTGAAAGGAAAATGAGGACGTAGCTTGGGTGGAATGTGAGGGTGAGGCTTTGTTAAAGCAAAGAGATACTAGAATGGTTTGAGTTTTTAATTCTTTTTTGTTGTTGTTGTTAGTGAACCATAGCACAGTGGGTAGAGCGTTTGCCTTACATGCGGCCAACACGGCTGACCCGAGTTTGATTCCTCCACCCCTCTCAGAGAGCCAGGCAAGCTACCGAGAGTATCTCACCCGCATGGCAAAGCCTGGCAAGCTCCCTGTGACGTATTCGATATGCCAAAAACAGTAACAAGTGTCACAATGTTACTGGGCCCGCTCTAGCAAATCGATGAACAACGGGAGGACAGTGACAGTGACAGTTGTTAGTGAGAATAAATTTAGATATCAGAATATCCCAAAGTGAGATTTACCTTAAAGAAAGTACTGCATGGAAAACAGCAGGATTCACTCTCAGATTTCATAGTTCACCTGTTGGCATCTCCCTGGCTGCCGCAGCAGATGCCCCTTGACAAGGACGTCTGTGAGATGTGGTCCAACAGCTCTCCCTGGAGAGCACCAGGCCAGAGCTTCTCATACTTCAGTACATGCCAGGAGCACCTGGGAAGTTAATAAAATCACTCAAGTCTGGACTCTTGAAGTAGAATATGGGCAGAGATGATATCTTTTACCAGTTTCTACAGGTGATTCTTCATATGTTTGTAAAGCCATTGCTCTGACTTTAACTGGGAGGAACACTCGTGAAAGCAAATATTCCCAGAGTTTCTAATTCAGTGGGTCCAGTGGGGAACTGAGGAATTTTGCATTTCTGACAAATGTCTAAATGCTGCTGCTGGCTGAGAAACCGTTGTTTGAAAACTACTGATCTACACCAACATCCAGGCTGTCAGCACTGTACCAGCTGGCTGATGTTTTCACAAGTTGAATCAGAGGTCCTAGGATGACATTTTTTCCTAGAAAAAATTTAATATTACCTTTAGAAAGACCAGATTTGAAGTCATTTGACTGTGAAGATAACTGGGTATCGGTAAGATCTGTTAGTTACTGACTTGTAAATAATGATTCTAAGGGAAAGAGCACGGATACTTTAGGTTTCCACCAACTTCATCCATCCTTTTCTCTCCATATATGCATATCTGCTTTCAGATTTTGTGGTATTATCTTAGCACTTTCCTTTGCAGTTCTAATTCAATGTATTAATTGTGTTCATATATGAGTCATCATCCACCTTAGCTTTTATTCTCTAATAACAAAAGCCATTTCAAAAATTTGATGCATAGTACTTATTTTAAGTAAAGAATAATGCCCTTTAAAAATATTTAAATCTGCTATAACGGAAAAATTATTTTGATTAAAAACAATGTCTTTATGATTATATATTTAGATAATTTTACGAGGCAAAGTATTGCCCATCGAGAGGAAATCAGCATTCTTGGTGCAACACTTAATGATTTGGCCAAAGAAAAGGAATGCCTACAAGCATGTTTGGATAAAAAATCTGAGAATATTGCATCCCTTGGAGAGAGTTTGGCAATGAAAGTATGTTATGAGAACTGTGATTTAAAACAAATGTTCGAACTTGAATCTCAATAATAATAGGATTTTAAGATTATTGTTCTAGAGAGCAGAAATTAAAAATTTTAATTTAGTTATATTTCAAGTAACTGTTATGAAATATTTACTAAGTATTTACTAATACCTTTCCTTGGGTTACAAGTATTTTACCATTAAAATGACCTTAGTAATTATGCTCCAAGCTAGAAGAACATTTTTTGCATTGTTCTGAGCCTTCCAGAATAGAGCATATGCAGCTTCAGATATAAATCTTCATGATAATCTTCAACCCACATTTTTGTGTTGTTTAAACACAACACCTAAAGGTTGCTCAACTCAGGGAAATAATTGATACCCCTTTCTAGATCACAAATTCATTCTGAAGGTAAGTCCTGAACTATTTTCCACACATTTCCAGCCAAGACAGCATCATTATAATAAGGTCTTTCTACTTTTTTTTTTCATTTTTTGTTTCGGGGCAACACCAGGCAGTACTCCGGGGATACTCCTGAAATGAACAATGCTCAGGAATTTCCTCTCAGCAATGCTTGGAAGAACGTGTGGTCCTAGGAATTGACCTGGGCTTCTCACATGCAAAGCATTTGCTTTAGCCTTTTGACCTATCTTCCTGCTTCTCCCTTTTCTATGGGAAACAGTTCATTTGCTCATCATCCATCCATCCATCTGTCCATCTAGCACATACGTGCTGGCACGCAAAGGTGTTGTGTTAGAGACGGAGGGTGAGTTGCCTGACTCCACATAGCATATTATATAACTGGGAGAAAGATAAAAATAGAATATGCTCAATACATGTGTGATTGGAGCTTGGCAAAACAACTGATTCAGTCTAAGGTGTTGGAATAGAGAAAAGTCTGGAAATCTTCCAGGTAATGATGTTGCATGAAAGACGACTAGGACTTAGCCAGAAGATTTAGAAAAAGGTTTTGGCGAGAGAAAGGGTTATCCAAACAGATAAAATAACTTAAAAGAAAACTTAGTGTATGTCATGAGAAAATTGCACAAAGAGCTTTTTACAGTTTCGAATATGGCCAGAGAACAAATTGCAAAGAGGTGCATGTGGGGTTTGGGATGGGAGACAAAGATAAGATGGAATAGATAAGCAAAACAATCATTTTCTTTTGTGTGCTGAACTTAGACTCTTACAGACTTTAATGTTTCCACAGTGGGCAACACCACCCTTGGGTAGGGCTGGAGAGTAGCCTCAGTTGCAATTGGAAGGTTGCTTTCTGCTTGTTCTTTTAAGAAGGTCTGTTTCCCTGGGTGATGCTGAGAAATTATTTTTCAGGATGGGGTGGAAGGCCAACTACAGACCACCTGATAGAGGATCATTAAACTGTAAAGGAAATCTTACAATTATATCCTTATTTTAAAAGTATTCTTGGCACTTGTTTTTGTTTTTGGGCCACACCCAACAATGCTCAGGGGTAACTTCTGGCTCTGCATTCAGGAATCACTCCTGGTGGGCTCAGGGGGCCTTATGGGATGCTGGCGATCAAACCCAGGTCGGCAGCTTGCAAGGCAAGTGACCTACCCACTGTACTAACTCCCTGGCCCATTTTTGGCACTTATTAATCCATATCCAAGGAAAAATAGAATTAAAACAAGAACACTAGTTCAGAATAGAATATTAAGCAATTTTCATGAGTATAGATTCTTAAGGCAGTTTACAAGATGCATTTTCTGACTTGGGAACATTAATTATTTCTATGCATGAAATAGAAAACACAGGAAATAGAACAGCTTATTGAGGAGGTTCATTAACATGTCTTTGAAACATGTAGTTGAAATATTCATAGAATCTTTAATGTTTAGATTTGCAGATAAAATTTAAATAAATAGATTGGGGAATCAGAACAATGAGATAAGCGAAGAAAATGACAGTAAATTCTGTTTTTATTGTTAAAAGGCTTATTCATTTAACATCACAGTTATAACTCAGTAGTTTTGAAATTTTGTGCTTTTTGGTGAAACTGCTACTTATACATTAAATGATTTAATACACATGATTTTATTTAACAACTTTTACATACAATAAAAAATTCTTTACTTTTCTGAACCTCATTTCTTGATACTATTTCTAATATTTCACTTTTCTTCCATTCTGCTAACTGTACTAACATCTTTTCCTTCACAAGGAATATATATTTTTTGGGGGGGTCACGTCCAGTGATGCTCAGGGGTTACTCCTGACTCTGCACTCAGGAATTACTCTTGACAGTGCTTGGGGGACCCTGTAAGCATCGAACCTTATGGGTATTGAATCCTAGTCAGCTGTGTGCAAGGCAAACTTTCTGTCTTCTGTAATATTCACCGTGGCCCCCATAGTTTAAATTTAAATTTTCTGCTACTTGCTCCCTACTAAAGTTAGAAAATTCAATAGCAAGTTAACAATTTTTAACTAATAAAATTATAGAATTATTATAGAATCTTAGGGTGTTAGATTTTAGTTTTTTCTTTTTTCTGAGTATATTCATGAAGTTGCACAAGGAATACAGCTGATAATGACAGCGTACATTCAGCAACTTGTAATATGGTGGCATTAATGGTTGATTAAGAAAAAAACCAAGAGAATATATTATTTGGTGTTCTGGCAAGTAATTTCGTTGCCCTGAATACATTAAAATGTTATTAGAAAATCTACCTTTCAAGGTAAATCTAACTTGAATAGAGGAAAGTCCTTTTCGTTTTATAAATGCTATTCAATGTTTAAGTCAGTAATTACTTTGAGAAGCATTGTGATTCAATTATTTGTACTGAATTTATAAATGTGTTAAATTACATTTAAATTTGAGAGTCCAGAGTGACAGCACAGCGATTAGGGTGCTTGCCTCATTCAGGTTGGTCCCTGGAACCCCCTATGGCCCTGGAGAACCCCGGGAGTGACCCCTGAATGCATAGCCAGGAGCAAGCCCTAAGCACAGTCAGGTGTGGCCCAAAAACAGCAGTATAAAAAGCATTCTAAATATTACATTTTAGAGCAGTATTTTCTGTTTGAGTTTTGCCTCAGTTGATTTTTACTTGAAAGACTTTTAAAGCTTTTGCTGCTGGTTATTTTAAGCATACTCAATAACCATAATCACCAGATGTGGAATCTTGCCATGCAAAAAAGCAGAACAGGAAAACCTTAGATAAAAAATACTCTGGAGAAGAAAGCATGATAAAGGAGCCTCACACATGCAAAGTACATGTGCACATGTATGTGTGTGCCCCACAAAAGATGTCTCTTTAAAAACAGAAAAAAAAAGCGTAGGAGTGATTCCTGAGTGCAGAGCCAGGAACAAGCCCTGAGCATCGCCAGGTGTGGCCCCCAAACCCAAACCAAACAAAGCTCCCCCCACCCCCAAACAAAAAGAAAACTATTGGGTGATAGAGGTGTGGATTCTTTTGTCTTGTTACCTGGTTACTAGGAATTGAAAATCCAAAAGGCAAAGTGAAATCTAGTTAGAGAAAGAATTTCTTTTTTTTTTTTTTGGTGGTACTAGGAATTGAACACAGGATTTTATACATGCAAACATGTGCTCTACCACTGAGCTACACCCCTGACCCCACAATAATTTTCCTCTTTTTCCCTTAAAACCTAATGTTAGTCTATAATTAGTTTAGAATTAATGATAATTTTAAAAGGAGGAGGGTGGGAATGTTTTGATGACAATAAGATTCTTAACCTCTTTTAGCATTAACCGACTACACTAATTCTAGTCACTTGCCACCCTTTAAAAATGGATAATACAATAGTCTTTTAAAATTCAAATTTACTCCAAGCCTAATGCTTATCTACTTATTAATTTATGTTTGAAATTTATGGTTTGTTTTTATCCACAAATTCACTGAAGCAGCTTTTTGAAAATGCTATTGATGTCTAAGATAAATAACACGATCAAAAGTTTTGTGGAGACCAGAGAAATAGTAGATTGGGAAGGGCCTTTGCCTTGCATGTGGCCGACCCAGATTTGATGCCCGGCATCCCATATGGTTCCTCCAAGCACAGCCAGGAGTATTCCTGAGTATAGAGCCAGGAGTAACCCCTGAGCATTGGCAGGTGTGACCCAAAAGGCCAACATTTGGTGGGGGCTCAAATCTGGGTTGACTTCATGCAAGACATGCTCCTAACCTTCTGTGCTCTCTGATTCTCTTCTTGGGTTTAATAACATGAAGAAGGACATCAGTTCTATTGTCAGTAATAGAATATTGTGATGCCAAATCATGGGTTTCGCCTCCCAAATTAGGTTGATTATGGGGTTCTTGTGTTGCTGGGTAACTGCGCAAAATATCTTTTAGCTCGGTATTTGATACATTGATCTCATATTAGTACACTGAAGTATAGATTTTAGTGAGCATAATAATCATTGTCTTTCTTTAGTGTATTCATATAAATGTATTGGACCTTAGTTTTATTTTGTTAATTAATTTTTTAGTGAAGTAAAAATTTTTATTAAAATAAATATATGTAGTGAAGTGTGAGGGGAGAGGAAGAGAGAAATGCATGGTCAAGAGAGGAGAGTTTTTTTCCAGAGGAAAATCATGGACTTTAGTTTTGAAATTCAGAACATAGTATATAATTTTTTTGGGAAAAAAACGTAGTATGTAATTTTGGGAGGCAAGAAGGGAAGGGGACTTTTCAGTTCACATTGTTTTAGTAGCAATAGTATTTTAAGGTACTTTTACTTAATATTCATATTACTTTTCAAGGAAAAGACCATTTCAGGCATGAAGAATATCATTGCTGAGATGGAACAGGCTTCAAGGTAAATTATTTAACAAATATTTGAGCATTTATTGAAGGCAAAGGACCTTATTATATGTACAAACACAGTAAAAAACAGTGGACTTGGTGTAGCTATATAAAAGGTGATAATTCTCTAAAGTTGGAAAGGAGCTCAAGTATGTTTAAAGAAAGTAGAGTGCTTACTATGTAAAGGAAAAGGTAGTGAAGATATGAAGAAAAGCAAAGAACTGCAGAGAAGCACATGCCATTGTTCAAGGACATCCTGAATGATCGAGGTCTGAGTGTGCTGGGAGTTCAATGCCAGAGGGGCAGTAGGGGGTGCTTACCAGGTGTGGAGAGGCCTGTCAATCAGACCATCAGGGGTGTTTGCCTTAGGAACAGGATGTTTGCATTAATCAAGCAAAAGCGGTAACTGAGGGATTGGAACTTGTAGACTAGGAAGCAGTGAGGTGCTTTGAGGAAAGACACTAGGAAAATGACATTGTCTGACTGGGGATACACAAGCACATCATAGAAGTATATGGGGAAAATGACATTCTTCTGTATCCAAGCTTTTCTTTTCTTCCCTCTCCTACATGCCCTCCCCTCCCCCTTTTCTCCCCTCCTTTCCCCTCCCCTCCTTTCCCCTCCCCTCCTTTCCCTTTCTTTCCCCTCCCCTCCTCTCCCTGCTCCTCCCCTCTCCTCCCCTTCCTTTCCCTCCTCTCTCCTCTCCTCTTCTCCCTGTTTCTTTTTTTTTCTTTTCTTTTCTTTTCTTTTCTTTTCTTTTCTTTTCTTTTCTTTTCTTTTCTTTTCTTTTCCTTTCTCTTCTTTTCTTTTCTTTTCCACATCTGGCAATGCTCAGGGATTCCTCCTGGCTCTGCACTCAGGAATCACTCCTGGAGGTGCTCTGGGAACCATATGGGATGTTGGGGTTGGAACCTGGGTCAGCAGCATGCGAGGCCAGAGCCTTCCTGCTGTACTGTCTCTCCAGCCCCTGTATCTGCCTTTCTTATGGACATGTGTGCAAGCAGTTAAAAATTTGTCTAGAGTATAAGGAAGAGGCCAGCACTGAAGAAATTATTTAGGAATCACACAATTATAGGTGGATGCTATAGATGAGTATAGAATCAGTTTGAGAGAAAGTGACATGAGGAAAGCCAGTGGCTGTGGTTATGCCCCCAGACATTATTTTTTGTATATAGAGTATAGAGGAAAAGGAATCTACAAAGGAGATTTAGCCGTAACTCCTAGGCAGGATGAAAGCTTTCCTGTACTCAAGTGCCAGAAGTTTTGGAAAACTTAGTAAAACTTTTTCTGTTAAATACATTTACATCCTTTTTCATAGTGAAATGTTGACAACATAGAGAAACTCCAGTGTACTGTCTTTATAGTATTTCAACAAACTTAAATTGTATCCAAACATTTTCATGTTAATGATCCATCTGTGAGAATTTATTTGTTATGATAAAAGTTCTCCTAATACACTCTGTGATTTTTGGAATAGGCAGTCTACTGAAGCTCTAATCATGTGTGAACAAGACATTTCCCGAATGCGCCGACAGCTGGAAGAAACCAATGATGAGCTGGGCCAGATTGCCAGGGAGCGGGACATCCTGGCCCACGAGAACGACAACCTGCAGGAGCAGTTCTCTAAGGCCAAACAGGAGAACCAGGTACTCCACCCGCCCCCTCAGCCAGTGCCCTTCTTCTTTCCAAGGTGCAGCCCCATTCACTTTATAGAAAAACCCAGACTTGAGAATTCAGTTGTATTTTTCCTTTTACTTCGTAGAATAGGTCACTATTTCTCATGTGAAATATTAAATATTATTAAAAAGGGAATGGGAGATACATTATTTACACCTGTATTTTTTATATTTATTTGATTGACTGTTTTCTGTTTTAAATATGAGTGTATGGACTACCCCACATTTTGGGGTCCCTTTTAGCATTGAGTATGATTATTCTTAGAAAAATAATTTAATAATTATAAATGGTATAAGGTTAAATATAATACCATATACTATAACTTATATGATTTTACAATTACTCCCCTCTAAGCAAATATATTTCAGCTTTATTCACAGTTCTCATTTTTTTAAAAAAAATGTATTTATTTATTTTGAATGAAGACACCATGATTTACAAAGCTATTCATAATAGAATTGCTTCAGACATACAACGTTGTAACCCTAATCCCATCACTAGTGTTCCAGGGTTCCTGCTTTCCCTCTGCCTGATCCCTTAGCAGGCTTATAACAAATTTATTTCGTATTACTTGCCCCACCAAAACTTAAATGGCAATAGAATTATTAGAAGATAAGTCGGCAAAAGTCAATTTATTGTGATCAATTGCTATATGATTTTAATCTATGTAAATAAATAAATTCAAGTCATTCATTACAATATAGTATGTAGCCTATTCTCATTTGCATAACTAAGTTTTAAATTCTGGTATCTAAAACATATTGTCTTAAATTTTATTTTGTACTTGAAACTAATTGGGGTAATCATATCTTCCCTGTAACAAATGAGGCTTCTTTATCTTGCTCTTTTTTTGCTCACTGGAACGGCATATAACAAATTTATTTTTTATTAACTGGTCCAAAAGACTTCAAAAATGGCAAATAGAATATTAGAAAATAAATCAGTGAAAGTCATCTTATGATTAATTGCTATATGTTTTTAACTTCTGTTAACCTAGTAATATGCACTGTTAGGACCATATTCAACACCACGTTTCGGGAAGTATCTCCTGCCCTTTACAGAAGCTGTATAGATGCTTCTTGCAAAACTGATTCAAACACTTGAATTCCTGAGCTGTTACCTGTCCCTGAAGCTCTGTATAGCTCCTTCAAATCTGGATGACAGTGTAGTTGGTCAGAGTATTCTTATTGAGGTGTTGAACGCGTTGAGTTTTTGTACTCTTGTCATTCCATATTTTTTGTAGAGTCTCATATGATAGATCTCCTGTACATCTTATGGGCATTCATTTGTATGTAAATTCCTTTTTTGATCTTTCAGCTTTTAATATTGTCTCTAAAAGTCTTTAGATTTTTGTCATTTCGAGTATAATGGATTTTTCCTAATTGGGTCTATTTCCTTTCTTTCTTTCTTTCTTTCTTTCTTTCTTTCTTTCTTTCTTTCTTTCTTTCTTTATCACTGTGAGAACAGTGACAACGCCTTTCAGTTCAAGTCTCGGTCGGTCATGCAATGATCAAACACCCGTCCCTTCACCACATTTTCCACCACCAAGAACCCCAGTATACTCCCCCCCCCACCCCTGCCTGTGTGGCAGATTTCCACTTTACTCTCTCTCTCTCTCTCTCTCTCTCTCTCTCTCTGGTGATCACATTCAATGTTATGACAAAAGACCCAACAATTGTTATTTGGAATTTTCCCTAACATTCAGACCTGCCACAAGGACATCATTAGATAATATGTTTTCTATTGCTGAGCATGAAGAGCATATGATGTTGTGTGGCCACAATAGCAGCCAGGCGAATTTGGATTTCTGATATTTTAGTAATAAACCTAGAGGGATTATTGCCAGAAGACCCTGGGTTCCGAGATTGGTATCTGTGCCTGTAGGTTCATGGTCGGTCAGAAGCCAGAGGAAGAGTTTGAAGGTGGCAACGGGGAGCATTGTCATGGCGGGGAGCAGGGCCAATCCACCCGCCATCCCATAAAGCCCCACCTGCCTCGTCAATACAGTCTCAAACCTGGCTGTTCATTAGGCTCTAAAAGATGCAGTCCACCATGTTGCCGCCGCAAAGTGGGACAGGTGGAGGGACAGACACCCTTCTCTGAGGGCGGCATAGCACCATAGTTAAATACACAGTCCAGATATTTTTCGGTTGGGTATTATCTTTTGCTCAGATTTAACTGGGTCTATTTTCACTGGGATCCTTTGGCCTCTTGGATCTCAATGCCTGGAATCTTCAGCTCTGGGAAGTTTTTGTTAATGATTTCTTTGGTTGTTGTTTCTTCACTTTTGCCTCCCAGGTCTTCAAGGACTCTGATGGTTCATATATTGTTCCTCTTGAGCTCACCCCAGAGTTCTCTAGTATGCTGTTCTTTTCAGACTATTTTCCACTTTCTACTGTTTCTAGTGGTTCCTCCTTTTCATCATTTTCATTATTATTATTTTTAATTTGAACATTAAAGCAATCTTATTCAGAAACTTTTCTCCCTCAGAATCCTTTACTATGTTTTGACATTAAAATCTTAATATTTTTTCTCACAGGCACTGGCGAAAAAATTGAATGATACTCACAATGAACTTAATGACATAAAACAGAAGGTTCAAGACACTAATATGGAGGTTAACAAGCTGAAGAATATATTGAAGTCTGAAGTACGTATGTGTATTTTCATTTTGTTCATGATAGAATTTTCATTAAAGTAACCGATTAGTTATAGACATCTAAATCATCTTTCTTTAATACATAGCATAGTTTGCTTTTTTCTTGATGGGGCACCTGATTATTTACAGTATCACCAATGTCCAGAAAGGAATTTCAGGAATATTCCCCTTTCCTTTGCTATTCAGTAATTCTAGGTGAACAGAATTCTAATTGGTTGAAGTTCAAGGACCAAAATCAATTTGGGCTCATTTGTATTTGAAAAATGATAGTTTTCTCTACCTTCCTTTGACAGAGAGAGAGCACATTTTATAGCACATCAGAGTTGGTAATACTATTGTGGGAACATCTATTTCTCAGAACCAAAGGACAGATGGCTTAATTCTGTCCTTCTTTATTAGCAACATTTGGCTAGTCACATATGATATCTGATATCATATGAGTCCGAATATATGTGGGCAAATAAATGATTGACCTGGAATAAACAGCTTGACCAAGAGTGTTTGGCATGCCCATTGAGTAAAATATTATCTAAAATAGTATAGCTTGATTTATTACTATTATATGTATGGGTCACCTACACACCACTCAGACCATGAGTAAGAACTCACCCCCCCAAATAGTTTTCCTTATTTTATTTAACATACCATTTAACATTCACAAGTGTTCTGGAACTGTTGAGATAAATGAGAAGAGTAACAAAATTAGTGGGAGGCAGAGAAATTAGGAGACTGTCCACAAAACTGTCTTGGATTATGATGGATCCCCGCTGAGCTGTGCATGATTTTATTATACTGATCCCAGTGACAGCACACGGTTGGTGGGGGATAGGTGAATGAAGACTGTGAAGAAAGGGAGACTCTGGAAGAGGGAACTGGACAGTACTAGAGAGCAGTTTCACATTGGGCCCTAAACTGCTTATTATATTTTGGACAGAAACCAAAAAGGGGTGGGGATAATGGATGAAAACTGGTTTCTAATTGTAAAGAAGAGTCATGAAGTGATTAGAGGACAGGAGAGGTGTTTATGGCACCCCTTTAACTTGGACTTAAACTTTGAACTACTTATTCTTTGAACCATGTATTACTGAATCACAAAAATGAATTTTAATTAGAAAATGGTTCCTATCTTCTAAGGAGTCTAAGGTGTTATTATTGGTAAGACTATAATACACCTGATTATGAAAAATTGTAAGACAATTTTAAGAAAATGACAAGATAATACGCTTAAGAGAATTAGAGGAAAAGATTGATATGATAAAATTCAGTTTGTGTGCATTATACTACGTACCTCCCAAGTACGTGCTTAGAATTAATTTATTAATTTTAATATAGTTGTGAAAATCAGATATCCCTGTGGATACATTTAGAATATATGAATCCTGAAAGTCAATATAGTGCATTAACTTGTTGATAAAGGTTTACTTCAAGATCTTTCGCTTTAGCCAAATACAAGCAGACCACAAGGTGGCGATATTAGCTGAGTTTCATGCTTAAATAACTTACAATAATTTGATTAAAAAGGGTTGTAGAATTTTGAAAACATGAAAATTTAAAGTACTACAGAATGAGAATTTGTTTATTATTTATTCCAACTTGGTGATTTTTATTTGATTTGTATTTTTGACAGGGAGATTCAGTTTATTCACAGGTAGGGAACAAATAGATTTCATTACTATTTTTATTTTAGAAAAAAATAAGACCATACTTTAGTCAGTCTGCCATACGCAAATTTCAGGCTTTTAAAATGTGGTTTTTAGTTGTATGCTAAACATATACATAAATACAAATATATGAATAGTGTTTATTGGCATAGATTTAACATTTTACTTAATGCAATTTCAGCCTGTTATTTAAAGAGTCAGTAAAAGTGAATCATGAAACAGTCCATGATAGAGAAAAGTAAGTCTGGGACTGTGAATTAAAAGCAGAGCCAAACAGGAATTGTGACAAATAAAGTGAAATACAAGAAGCCGATGACTAAAATATATAGACAGAAGCTCTGTAGCCAGTCCAACTTAAAAAAATAAAAGTGACTAGAGTACTTCTAGAAAAATGGCAGATTAGAGGCCAGCAATCCTTTATGAAGAAGGACAATCAGATATCAAGAACGTATCACACGTAAAACGTCATCCTCTCCTAGCTGGTTTGCCTGAGATCCAGGTACTTGCACAGCCATGGACATAGATGGACATGGATGAACACATCAATGAGCCCAAGGAGGAGGGGAGATGAGCTGGTGAAGAAGCGGTGGCACAGCACTGCAGGCAACACTCAGGGTGAGCCAAGATGACCATAAAACTAGTGGCCATACAGAGAGAGCCAGAGGACTGCTCCTGGTAAAGAAACCAAATCCTGAGATAGACCACATCAATGAACGTGTATACACACACACACACACACACACACACACACACACACACACACACACACACACCCAATGTGTAACAAAGCTGAGTCTGGGCATATTAGGCTATAGACAGATGGACGGGCTGAGACTCCTCCCACTCCTCTCAGAGAGGAGCATAGGGATGGGGCTAAGGGAAGGATGTTAACACAGACTTTTAGCACTAGGAGGGGCAGAAGTTGCCATGGTGGCAGAACAGGGAATTCTCATTTGGGTCTATTCCCCTCCTGTTACCCAGCTAATAATACTGAGATCAGTTATAGTTTTTGATCTTCTGATCTCCCTTTTGTTCCCCATTTTGACCTTGGAAACAATTTCAACACTAAATTGTCAGAATCACCCGCAGGAAAGTGTAAGCAGCAAACCTTTTCAGGTAACTGGTATAAAAATAAGATGAAATTCCTTTAAAAAATGACATATTACCAAAGGGCAAGCTTAAAAGAGATTCAGATTTGGAGAACGTAGCAAAGAATGGAGACGAGCCATCATAATGACCTTTACAAAGGTAAATAACCTCAACTAAACACAGGGAAGCACATTAAGCACATACATCCTAAAATATTCTTCATTAAAGGGGTTGATTATATTAAAAAACTTCAAAGTTTCTGGATGTGAAGGGCACATTGAGTGAGATAACGTCTACCATGGAAAGCAGAACATTGCAGAAGAACAGTATTAAAAATTGGAGACAAAAATCACAATTATGAATCAAATGGAAAGGAAAGAATATCAGATTTAGGAGAAATGAAAGTTTGTAATAACTATCAAACCTCATAAGAAAGGTTCCTATCAAGACTGGGGGCGTTTCAGAAGGTGAAGAAGAATAGAAGAGAACAGAGACCATTTTCCAAGAAATACTGACATTTGTAAAAACGAGGAAAGATCTAATCATACATATCCAGGAAGCTGAAAGAACACGCAATTTTTTTTTGATATTTTGAGTTTTATGAAATTTTAAAAAAATTTTTACTAGTGAAACACCAAGAGGTACAGTTGTAGACTTACAAATTTTTGTGCTTGGGTTTCAATTATACAATGATCAAGTACCTATCCCTCCACCAGTGCCCATTTTCTACCACCATGGATCCTAATATCCCTCCCACCCCCATCCTCCCCATCCCACCCCACCCCAGTGGCAGGGCATTCCCTTTTGTTCTCTCTCTCCTTTTGGGTGCTGTGATTTGCAAAAGAGTCATTGAGTGTCAATTCTGTTTGGTCTATAGTCTACTTTCAACATGCTTCTCCAATCCTGGGAGGATCCTCCCAACACCCTTTATTTGGTCCTCTCTTCTCTAGCTGAGCTGCCTTTTCCCCTAGCATGTGTGGCTGGCCTCCAAGCCATGGAGTAAACCTCCTGGTACTTATCTCGGCTATTCTTGAGTGTTAGTCTCCTATTTTGTTACTTTATGTTCCCCAGATGAATGCAATCTTTCTATGTCTATCCCTCTCTTTCTGACTCATTTTGCTTAGCATGATACTTTCCATGTAGAACCACTTGTATGTAAATTTCATGACTTCATCTTTTCTAACAGCTACATAGTACTCCATTGTGTAGATATACCAAAGTTTCTTTAACCAGTCATCTGTTCTTGGGCACTCAGGTTTTTCCCAGATTCTGGCTATTGTAAAGAGTGCTGCAATGAACAAACAAGTGCAGATGTCACTTTGACTATACTTTTTTTTGCCTGTCTGGGATATATTCCCAGGAATGGTATTGCTGGGTCAAATGGGAGCTTAATTTCTAATTTTTTGAGAATCGTCCATACTGTTTTCCAAAAGGGCTTGAACCAGTCAGCATTCCCACCAGCAGTGAAGGAGGGTCCCTTTCTTGCCACATCCACGACAGCACTTTTGTTCTTTTGGATGTGGGCCAGTCTCAGTGGTGTGAGATGGTATCTCATTGTGGTTTTGATCTGCATCTCCCTGATGATTAATGATGGAGAGCATTTTCTCATGTGCCTTTTAGCCATGGACTTTTGGGTATTGATTTTATAACCTGCAACTTTACTATACAAGTCTATTGTTTCTATGAGTTTCTTGGTAGAGGTTATAGGGTTCTCTAAATATAGTATCATATTATTCTCAGATCCCTGGGTGGTTGATGGAAGCAGACAGGGCAGGGTAGGTTGGGGCTCCTGATTAGAATCCCTTTGTCACCTGTGGTGGTGGGAGCAAGCAGAGAAGCTCTGTCCCTGGGTCCACCGAGCCTGAAGTCCAAGGTCTCAGAGAGTTCCGCTTATCTTGTTCTGTGGGTCTTCAGTCGTGCGTGGGTCTCGGCCGGAGCTGCCGCGCGGGTCGGGAAAGCGTCCTGGAGTGTGGCGACGGCTGGGTAGTGGAAGTAGTGTCGAGAGTGGAAGTCTGCCAGTGGGGTATTTATCTGGGTAGGGTGGGTCTCCTGTGCACAATTCGATCCCTGGGTGGTTGATGGAAGCAGACAGGGCAGGGTAGGGTGGGGCTCCTGATTAGAATCCCTTTGTCACCTGTGGTGGTGGGAGCAAGCAGAGAAGCTCTGTCCCTGGGTCCGCCGAGCCTGAAGTCCAAGGTCTCAGAGAGTTCCGCTTATCTTGTTCTGTGGGTCTTAAGTCGT